TAATTCGCTATATAACACAGAACAATAAAGGAAACAGTTCTTGCAAGCTATCTAACCTTCTCTTAATCATAATAGACATATTTCTAAATGTGCATTATATACAATACCTGAAGCAGTAGTTCATCTAAATGTTCCAGAAGGTATTGTTTGCCACTAATGTCAGTACCTATTACCAATCGCTTTTAAGGATTTATTTGATGATCAGATCAAAACCTGGCTAGATGAGGGCATTATTGAACCTATACCTGCTGCCACAGCATGGAATAGTCCCATCAAACTAAACACCCAGCAAAGGATTTTATAATTTAGGAAATAATTTTGTCTCTGATGGCAATTAACAAATTCTGATCAGCTAATACAGTGCATCCTGAAAAAATGAAGTAGGGGAGGCTCCAAAATTTGAGGTTGGGGGTGCAATTTAAGGGAATTAAGGGGGGATTTCGGGTCATCTGATCCACCCCTACTCATCAAACCACACATCTATCACATAATCGCTTTAAAATCACTCGAAATTTTGCCAAGTCATCACCCTCTGGTAAACCTGTCAAGCTGCTAGTTTTTTTTTTCATTTTTTTTGTAAAAGGAGGACAAGATCCCATCCAAGACAGCATAGCAGATGAGACATTTAACTTAAGTTAAATAGTGTGGCAATTCACTAAAAAACCTCCTCAACAGATAACTAACTGTTTACAACAACATTACTTTGTCTTGCTGTAATAAATACCAAAGTGTGCCAAACATTGCAATAGTTGCGAGTAGAATGCAGGTTCGAAGAAAATCTGCCTATAAACATGTTTTGTGTTTGATGTGACATTTTGCTTAAGAGAAGTAAGAATTAGGGATCCGTATCAGAACCGTAGAACCGGAACCAAACCGAACCGAAACCGAGAAAATACGGTTCAGTTCCTACCAAGAACCGAACCGGAACCGAACCGGCTCTGTATACATAGATTCGAAGAACCGAGAGGCAGAAGATTGCAATCAGCGATTTTGGTAATTAGTATAAAGTAGGCTATAATGGAAGTTACGAACAATGTTATTCCGAAAAGACCACAAAGTAGTGTATTTGCAAGCCATACTTTATTGAAAAACTTAACAAAACCTACAAAAGCAGAAGGGAGTGAAAAATAGTAAAGAAGAGAAGAGAAAAAATAAAAAAAAACACTTCTTCTGACAGCAGCTTGCTTTCTCCGCCCATGACGCACATCATTACTTATTCCTCTACTTTGCTACCCATAATGCATTTTTCTCCATGACGTACTACTTTACTAGATTTATCATGGCTTCTCGATCAGTTTTATCAAGTTTGTGCATTCCGTTTGAGATTGCGCATTCTGGGGCTCATAACAGAATTATCTTACCCATTCACCCTTTGCCTTTTATGAGACACTATACACTATACACACGTAGAGACACAGTAGCTGTATGTATTGCAGGTTGTGGTTCAATTCCTCCAATGTTACGATAACATATTGTACTAGTAATACTAAGTCGCTCTAAGTAAGTACTATAAGCTCCACTTTTTTTCGTAAAAACTGTGCTTTAATCTTTTAACCATGCAATGACCCACATCGTATAAGAATGTTTACATTCTGTTTCTCTTATTCATTTTGAGTCCGCTGTTCAATGTACAATAATAAACTATTCTTTTTTACTACAGTATTCAAGTATACTGCGACATTTGAACACACACATCAGCTTTCATTCAAAGATACCGAATCTTGCCTTTTTTATATATATGATAGGTTCGGTTCTTCGATTCGATTCTTCGGTTCTACAGTTCTCGTCAGTTCTAGTCGGTTCAGTTCTTGCTTTAGACGGTTCGGTTCGGTTCCCTTCAAGAACCGAACCGAACTGAACCGTGTGGATCCCTAGTACTAAAGGATGGTTAAATATCAGTGTAATATTAGGTGAGTATCAGTTGAATACTAGTTGAATATCAGCTAATACTCAACTGATGTTCAACCATTTTTAAACGTGTAACACACACCGTTTCTCCCAGTGATATATTACAATGTGAACAACATCCACTTCCTCTGTTGCGTGATGTTATTGCAGCTATCCAAGGCAACACCAACAGTAGTAATTTAAATCGCACTTTCGTTACTATATATCTTAACGTCAAATCTGCTTTTACTTCATTAACTCTATATGAACTACATCAAGAACGAGCTGCTTTCATAATTGAAGGATACATCTAATATCGGCGTAGGTAGTGTGGATGAGGAAGCAGTGTCCAATAAAAATCAACCATGACATTTTGGGCTGGCTGATAAATTTTGACTATGACACTGTTCCTGGGATTTAGATAAACAGTCTACATGTGCATGGCGAGAGTGTTTCATCTCTCTTTATACTACTACTGTTAAAGGCCGTGTCAACAGTGTCAAAATGTTTAATCTTAAGAAACCTGGAATAAAGAAAGGAGGAAAAAATCCTAATGCCAGAAGAAAACTCAAAAACTCGCATTCAGTACCTCAAGGGCAATCCGTGCTTTGTTTCACAGGAGATTCCACTGATTCAGCAACTAGTGATTTCAAGGACGACATTAGTAATAGCAACGACAATGACAACAACAACAACCGCACGTCTGCCATGCTACCCAGAACGTCTTTGGAAGAACCAGCTGAAGTCGATGAACTAGCAAGTATTCGTGGGCTACTAGAAGTTGCCACAAATACAAGCAACAACATTGACACTACTGGATATGATGATGATGAGACTCAAGAGGCAAATACACCAACTCCAGAGGAAGACAAACGTGAAGGCGAAGATCAAGACAGGATACTTGAAAAGTATTTTTTCGACCTTCAAGATCGCATACGAAATGCCATGAACAGCGATAAACAGGATAATATGCCTCAAGAATATCATAATGGCACATTATGGGTTCACCCAAAGTCTCCTTCCTTTGCATTGGTGGATGGAGAAAAAATCGATCCAAGCAGCTTGTATCTTCCACATGTGTGTCTATAGTTCCCTCATCTTCTGCTACAAACGTTTTTTTAAAAAAAACTAAAGTGCCCAGGTTGCAAAGTAACTTTTGGAAACAACGGTTATACAAAGACTCTTTTTGCATGTAGAGTAATAGATATTGATAGGTAACAATTGAATAGCGATCATTTCGACACAATTATGTGATATGCTTAGTTATCAAAAGAGTTCTGTTCTAAGTTAAAATGCTTAGCTGCTTTTATATTATGGGGTATCATTACCAGTGCCACACGCCTAGTTGCAAAAAAAAGTTATATCAGTAACGACCCAGAAATAATCCGTCAACTACCAGAAATCTTGCAATGTGAATACCCTGGATACATGACTCATCGAAGTGGGTTATCAAAAGTTGTTGGTGACCTCTATAGACCATGTGTTCCAAATCCCGTTGGCTCGAAGAGATTCTGCAAGATAATTCCTGAAGTACATCGATTAAAACACACGCGGCTACATTTACATTTTATTCAGTATATTGTATATCGACGATTTGATCAACAGTCAATTTATGGTATGTTTGATAACCAAGAGAGCATAACACCATTCTCTTCATTTGACGATCGACCTAAGTATATACCGGTCACATTCGATCCCCTCAATATTTTCCGTTCATTTTATACTGCGTTTATTGCAGAAATACGACACCTCATCGACAAGGAAATGGAAGTGCTTGACAGAGTGCATCTTAAAGGTGACTATACTTTTAAGATAATCAAGCTGATAAACAAGATAAATGGTCGACCAGTATTTGCTGCTTTATATACGGTGCTGAACGAATATGAAGAAGTCCGACTTCAGTTTCTTAATCCAACAAAAGCACTATCCAATCTCAAATATGCATTTGACGCCATGCGACATGCATATGATTTGTACGGATATACACAGCCATAAGTATTTTTTACGGACAACGTAACTGGGGATCAAAGTTTTCTTAAAGAAGCTATACCATCACGTTTGCAAGACGTGGTTCCCGTTGTTGAACAAGAACACGAAGGGCCGTTAAATGCTCGTTCTCACCCACTGCTTACTATTCCAAGCAACGTTGAAATCAAGGCTATCCGTGGTGCTCAAGATACCGAAACTAGTGCCAACTTGTGAAGCTATATTGGAACATACATTGAACAAAGACGACTCTATTCGACTGGGTATGCAACGCAACTGACACAAGACCAAATTGAGTATGCCGCTCTCGATGCATGGGCATCTTTAAAAATTTTTGAAGAAGTCAAGAGGCATGGTGTAATCGGTATACGTATATCTAATCCTACTCCTGACGGTGAGGGTAATGTACTGGGTAGATGAAATTCAACAGCAGTTTTATAACGCTGGAACTAAAGCTTGTATATATTCTTAGGTGATCCTGTATCGTATCATCCTGGGTCGTTTAACGAGCCTGTCGCATATGGTGTAATTTCCAAGCAACAAAAAAGACTAGATGGAGTTGAAGTTAAAAAAGGCCGCGTTATCATTATCATCAAAAGAACTTTGGTGCCCGGTGCCACAGTGAATGCACATGACAAGTGCCTTCGAGATTTTGCGAGTCCTCCGTTCGAAATAGTTGTCAAGGTGTCTGAGCTTCGTACTTACAAGACTGTTTCAGTACAGAATCACCAGCCACTTCAGCTATATCAACACCGACTCAACAATTGATTAACCAACAGACATATTTAGAAGATGGTAATATTAGATAATGAACGGATTGTAACAATACAGGTTTAATACATTACTAATATATTTTATACTTCTTGTATAAAGGCACAAGTAATCCACCCATGAAATCGGATGACGAAGATGATGATTTAGATTAAGAAAATGAAAGTTTACCAATCATTGATGAAGAAGGAAATTTGCTTGAAATCAACAAAGATATTGACGTGTCAAGCCGAGACTACGGCCAGCAACTATTTCGACAACAACAACAAAACGATAATTAAAGCAGAAGCAGAACCTCGACCACTATCGATCAAAAAGCTCCACACTCTCGTATTCTGAAAGATGTTTTTCATCCAATGGATATTTTAAAGGTCTCACGCAAACATGGATTATCCAAGGGGTTTTCAAGGACATTCGATGATGCATTGTTTTTAGATGATGAAATTGATAAAAGGCTGGTAACAGCGGTCCTAGAGGAGAAGAAAGAAACAACATGGGATAAAAAACTTGCTGAAGATCCTGATTGGATATTCAAAAGAGTAAAGCGTAAGTTAAACCTTCAAATTGAATGTATAATAACTGGATTAACAAGATATATACACTAACATAACACTAATTTTTCATTATTATATTAGGTGTTGTGCCGCCTCCTAAAGATCTCTACCCTATGGTGAAAAAACCGTTTGAAACTTATAGACCATTGCGCTGTGCTCGAACCAGACGACCATTATTTGATTTTGAAAATTGGAAGCAAGCAAAAAATGTGCTCACTGCCATTCATCTGGGCCACGTATCTGACCTACCTGGTATCCCCTTCTATTTTGTCCGTGGCTAAGATAAAGATGGTCTTACACTATATCGCTGTAGCTATGGTACAAATTCGTTGGAAGGTGGAATACACCAGAACCTGATTCGTACGATTGGAGCTTTTGGTGCCAGTGTTGAATATATTGATGCTCTACTTGCAGATTATAGACTTAGGCACAACATCAATGTGAGTAATAGTTATTATTTCATTTTACATTCGGAAAATTTAAAGTTTGGATTGACATATATGTTGGGTTGTAGGTTGGGACATTAAATAGGTTTGGACGTATTCACGACGGTCATTACGATCCGTGGATATCACAACATATCAATAACTTGGAAACAAAACTTAACCTTCCATGCAGCTACAGAGGGCCTAGTATACATACACACTCTCTTTACCTCAAGTCTTCAGGCGAATTATTTGGTATATCTCCCTTGGATCCAACATTAATGGAATTGTAAATATTGACAAAGCAACACCAGTCCAAAGCACTTCACACACCAATTCATCGTCATTAGATATTGCCACGTTAACTATGATCAATCGTTCAACTGCACAAGTAACTGGAGCTCAATACAAGTATATTGCCGAATGTCAAAGAGCAGTACACGCGATTATACCAGTTCACACAGACAAGGAGAAAAGCACATTTGATTCAATTCTTCGTCACAAGTTCCCAGACCACAGATTCAAAACCACAGACTTTCTTCGATTTACCAAACTTTGGTCGCAATTGGTTAACGGCACAGATATATAAAACACCAAAGCAGCTTTCTATTCATTACACAAAATGGAAAGAAATCGATAATATCATATGTACCAAAAGCAACAACAAAGAATCCATCGATAACATGAGCAACGGTTTGAACTCGACGGCCCGTAAACGAGCAGCACCACCTGCACAACACCCATCTCCATCAAAAACACCACGTACTGAAAGCATAATTCATATTGATAATACTTCAAGTGCCTCGTCATCTACAAATCGCCTTGATTCTCCTGTTACAATTTGTCCAGCTCCAGCACCTATCGATACGCAAAATCTAGCCACCTTTATGTTCCATCGATTACTAGCAAATATTCCACAGCAATTACCTTCCATGCCTCCAACACCGTCAAATTGTTCACAATATGAATATCCTCCTGTCAGACTTCAACCATTACAACGTTTGGGTAAGAAAAATAATTTCTCGATTCAAATATCCGCATACATTGACATTGTAAATATATTTAGCACCTGCATCCAGTTCAACAAACCCAAATTTTACCACGATACCACAAGCATCTACAAGTAGCAACAGTGGTAGCATTAACAACGGTACCAGCAATAACAGCATACTTGATGGCCTTCGTAAAAATAACCAAAAAACATATAATGTTTGTGGCAGCATTAAATGTAAAGGCAAAAACAATAGGACAAAATGCACAGCGAAATGTAGCTTCTGTGGTAAAGTCGATTGTACCAACAAAAATAAACAAAACAAAATGCAATCCATACAACAGCATTTAATCGCCTTACACCAATATAAACCATCAGATATCTTATATCGCTATTAACATTTATAGTATTTTTACACAGCAATAAACTCTACTTTCATATTATTACAGTATCATTTTAAAACAATCGTTTCACTTTCCAAAAACGAGAAAATTTAATTCTCTTCGCCTCATACATGCTATCTGTGCCCAAAAAATTGCGTTTGAAAAAAAAGTGAGCTGGTTCTGGGCACAACACATGGTGACATGGGTATAGAGAAAAGCATAACACATGGCATGGGTATAAGAAAAAGCATAACACATAGGTATGAAAAAAGCTACATCGTCACCAGATTTCAGCCCTTATGTTATCGTAAAACGTACAAAACGTTCGCGTCTGCTAGACTTGCATCTTCTTCACTCATACGTTTTTTCACTTCAACTCAGAATGAGTAAAACAGGAAGAAAGCAACTTTTTATTGCTTGCGTGTTGCAAGTCGTTTATATAACACCGCGCCCAAAATAATCACGTCGCGCTCCACACTTGTCATTTCACGTTTTTAAGGTATGACCGGTCCTCCTAGAAATAAGTGCTATTCTCTCACTCTTTTCGCCTACTGCTATTGGTAGTGTGCTGTGACTTTGGTGCTGTGCCGATTGTTTGTCAATGGACCTCATTGCAGGTTGAAATCTGGTAACGATGTAGCTTTTTTCGATACATATAACCATTCCCACCACCCACCACTGACCATCTCAAGTCATCCGCATATTATAGGGTACTGTAAATTTTTACGTACTTCACTTTCCTTTTTTGGATTTTTACGTACTTAGCCTCCAAGTTTTTATGTACTTAGCCACTCAAGTACGTAAATCGGTTCTGACGCTGTATATTTGTACTATAAAATTTTACGTACTTCCTATTTGGGAATTTTACGTACTTCTTGTCTTTTTTGTGCCTCGTTTGAGTAGATCATACAAATAGCTACCATTGATGTAGCCTATCATACTTTGACTCTGTATAACCGTCGCAGCTACGATGGCTACTGTAAATTTTTTACGTACTTCACCTTACTTTTTATGCAAAAATTTACGTACTTGGCCACCGAAGTACATAAATGTTATGAACATTCTTCGACCTCTAGTAAGTGATCATCCTCAACATCGTTGATGACATATTAAATCCCCATCCATCATCATCATCTGAATTATCGACCTTAATACCAATCTTTCCGTTTATTCGCATCATTAAATTCTATAGTAAAACATATATATATATATATATATATATCATAGTCTTTGAACGATAAAACATCAGTCAGTTATCTTGTTTCCTCCCTATACCTTGTTCTTGTTTCTTCCCTCACCATCTGGTTTCCTACCTTCTGCTTTCCTTCTTGTCTTGTCCTGTTCTTGCCGAAAGCACCTAGCACATTCTCGTCCGGTGTTACTGGCCTTGTGTTGTCTTGCCCCTGTTCGCACCTTACAGTAAATCAGTTCTCGCGCTGTATATTTGTACTATAAAATTTTACGTACTTCTCATTTTGGAGTTACATACTTCCGATTTTACGTACCTGTTGTATATGATTTTTATGTACCTTGAGCGCTAAAAGGACCATACATGTTGTTGTTATTACTTTGAAGATTTTGTATATATAATCAAATTTCACGGAAGGGCAAGAAAGCCCACACTATGTTTTAAAGGAACGTAAAGGTTGATGTACGTAAAATTTGGTGTTAGTATGATTGTATGACTAGTGAGTGTAAGTAGTCAAGGAACGCGCTCAGAAAAAAGAGACTGGTTTTCCTGCCAGAGCGACTGCTTTACCTGCAATCGCCGAAAATGGAAGTACGTAAAAATTCGCGCACCCCATATTATAATAACAAAAAAAAAAAACATGACAAAAAAACCAGACTGACTCCCCCATAGCATCCCCTGCCATATTTGCATTATTTACCTTCGCTGTATATATCATCTTCGCTGAAGTATTCTTTATATATATTGTACTTGCTTCTCCAAATCCTAGTAGTCTGCTGAGGAAGTCAACATTCTGGTTTTGGTGGGCACTTTTGTAGTGTACGTCGAATTCGTATTCGCTCAGTGTCTTAATCCACCTGGCCATTATGTCTGTTGGTACTTTATGGCTCCATATTCCACGTAGTGCGCTGTGGTCACAATACACGTCGAACTTGTATAGCAAGAGCAAGAATGGCTTTACATAACAGTCTCACACTCCAGACAAGCCATGCTGTCTCTCATCGGGAACTGCTATATCCATCCTTCAAGTCAAGTTGTCTACTTATGTCGCCGGTCGTATGGATGATTGATCTAACCCTCGCATATCGGCAATGAATCTGTATGACGTGTTGTCCTTTCTCTTGGTGAGCATGACAGGTGCGGCCCAGGGTGAGCTGAATGGTCGTGTTATTCCGAGACGGCAGTATCGGTCGAGTTCCTTGTTCAATGCAGCTGCTTCTACAGTTACTAATCTGTAGGGTTTGGAGGCTACTGGTATCGCGTTTTTCTTTAGAGTGATTTTATGCTCCAATAGGTCGCTACATCCAAGATCGTCGTCTGCCCAGGCAAAGCAGTCTTGATATTGTCGCACGAGTTCGATACAAGTTTTTCGGCGTTGGAATATCCTTGTTGGATTCGCTTCGGTTCGTCACTAGTCTTTCTACTCCGGGATCTGCATTGTCTTGTATTTTTTGAAAGGTGCCAATAAAGCTCAGTGGTGAAATAATCAATAATGAAGGCAGATTATTTTTGATTGTTATGGTGAAGGTTGTGGCTCCTTGTAGTATGTCCGGGCAAAAGTATTCATGCCGTGTTTTTGCAAGGTGAACTTCTTGTTCTGGTACAAAATATAGCGGTGTCGTCGCTGTAGGTCTGAGAAGTCTACCATGCACTTGAGTGGTAAAATTGGCGGGTATAGTAATGCTCTCTCTCGACCAAACTTCTATGGTGTTGTTCTGCTCAATGTTCCTGGTCTCCAGTAGTATAGGTGATTGTGCACCGTGATCCAAGGAGAATAACTCTTCCTTGTATCGGGCTCCTTGTCGTTGCAGTGTCGAATATGGGTATTGCAGGTTGATGTCGTAACCATATATCTCTTCATTGTTCAAGTCTTCACAGTATACGGTATCGGAGTCATCATCTCAAATATAATCTTGCTCCATGTAGTCTCCTAGTAGGAATCCACTTGGGATATCTACTTTGCAGAATGAAAAGTTTTCCAGAATGGTCATGTAGTCTGTGGCTTCGGCTCATATGCTAGGGTAATTGGTTGCTTCAATGGGTACAGTCGCAGATATTTATGGATAGAAGTTTACACCTCCAGAGATTGGGCGAGATAATTTTCCATAAAAGTATGTCTTTCCTTTTGGTGGTTTTGTGAATCCCTCGGCTGTTTCAACTCCAGTGCGTTTAGAGATTTATCTTTTCTTCTGCGTACAGCAGTAAAGCTATGTAAATCTCGTCTAAATTTAGGACAAGCCTTGATACGTTCTCTGATCTTTATTTGAGCTGTTATGTTGGATACATCTTCTACAATATCGTAGTCGATAACTGGTTTCGTCCTTGGCGCGCGGCGTGGCTTTAATTTTTTTGGTTTATCCGTGGTGATCTTGCGCGTCGGTTCCTTCAGTTTGTTTGGGCTCGGTCTATTTCCATCGGTCGTTCAATTGATCGATCGGTCGTTTCTAGTAGCATCCATTGGTGTAGGCATATCTCCTGGTATAGCCTGCGGTTGGTTCGTCGGCTCACTGGTTCTTGAAGATGATGGTTGTTTGTTGATATCTTGTTCTTGGAATTGTACTCTTCGTTGTCGCTTCTTTGCAGGATCAGGCTTGTCTGCATTCACGATTATTGACGTTTGATCCTGATCTCAGGCTCATACTTCGTCGTTTTTCAGTGTTTTCTAAGCTCAATGGTCGTTTTTGTACAGTGTATAAGTCTTGAGCGCTGTTATATTCTCGATGTTGCAGATCGGATTTGCTTTTGCTTTTGAGTGTTCTTATGTTCATTGCGGGTTTGTTATAGTTGGTGGAGGCGTTCAGTTGACCGCGTTTCTCATGAGCAACTGGCCCTAGTAGTTTTTTTTTTGGCTTGTTGTATCCTCGTGGTTCTTCGTAATACTGGTCGTCATAGTATTCTTCTTCTGAATGCCAATAGTCGTCAACATCGTCGTATTAGTCCTCCTGGTATCGACCTTCCAAATGTACGAAATTGCTGTATACATTGGATCGGCTATTACTGTTCAGCCAGTCTTTTTTCGATGATCTCATGGCAGGTTCCTCGTTTTGGTTAGGTCTTCCGTTCGACTGTCTCTGCTTATGGTCCGTTTGTTGTTGCGGACGTCCGTTGTTATGGCTTTGCTGCTGTTGATAGGGTCGCTGGTTGTTGTTATGATAGGGTCGACGGTCCTGATATGGGCGTTGTCTTCATTCCCATTTTGCTGGTCATTGTAATTTTGTCGTCGGGCTAGTTGGTAAGGGTATCGTCTGTCTTAAATTCGAGGTGGATAGCTCGGTCGCCGTGCATTGTACATAGTTGGCAATGTTTGCTGAAACCCGTTGTTTTTTTGTTACGTCTGTCCAAAGTAAATGAGAAATAAGAGCAGGAATGTTACGTCTGGTCTTAATAAAAGAGTATATTTAGCTTCAGTTACTAGCAATAAACAGAATGAAAGATGAAACAAGCCGTGTAAGGTCTTGAGTGATTGAAAACAACATTTGAAAAGTTAGGTAGAAAGTGAGGGGTGGAAGTTCTATGTCTTTATCCAAATCAAAATGATGGGGTATTTATATCTATACCAAAATAAATTAATACATCTATTGTAATTGAACATCAAGGAAGATGCTCGAAGATTGTGGAAAGTACTTTCAACCAATGGTAATGGTTGCGAAATCAGCTGAAAGGTCTAGGAATAATGCTACCAATAGTTATTCCTTGGCATTTGGAAGGTACCAGAAGGTACCAGAAGGTTGTAGAGTTGTTGCTACGTTGTTATCGGATCGCTGTATCCTTGGCTTTATGGAAAATACCTGAATGTCGTAGTAATTGCGAGGCTGTTGTGGTAGAGCTCTTGTTGTGTGATGTGAAGTGTATGATGTTTGTTATGCAGCTCTTTCTTGTATTCGGATTGGAGGGATAGCTCTCGGGGTATCACTGTAACGTTGTATACCCAGCTATGCCGGAATTTAGAAGGACTATGCTACATGGGAAGGTTTTTTTTATGTTGCATTCTCTGCCATGTTCTATGCTGCCGGCTCCCATTTGATATACAAAAATGTTAAACGCTCGTTGAGACAGATCCAAAGCAATGGCTCCTCGTTTCAGTAACAGCTGTGATAACATGCGAGATCATGTATATCACCTTCTGCGGGTACTATCAAACATCTGTTAGGGTCGAACGCTTTGGCGAAACCTAAAAATTCATGGTTCGCTCTGCTCTTCGTATGGTAATAATGGTAGTTGTCGCTGTTGTGCTAATTCCATGCTTTGACAAGCTCAATTTCTTGCTGGGTATATTTGCCAATAATGTGATTGTTTTTAATTTTTCGTCCGAGATTTTACTAGCGATGGGTTCTACTGGCGATCAGCTGGTTTGGCAGCAAACAGATATATGAATTTACACAGAATTGTTTAATTGTTCTATATGGGTTTGTCGTTATGATCTTTGGTACCTGGGCAGCCGTTGAAACCCTAGTCAATCGATTTGCGGACGATTACACTTATGATACTCAAAATAGTATGGCTATGCCACCAAAAAAAACATGACTCTGTCTTTGTTATTATATTGCATTCATTCAAAAATTTTACATGTCTGATGCACTATATATTGCACCAGTAGCAGGAGATAATAGACAAAATATTACATAAATATATAATTAATATCACGGATGCGCGCGCATACCATCTGAAAGTCTGTATGACTGTATGGTTGCAATAAGTCGCAAGGATTTAACAGAGCAATGCTGTGCCTATGTAAGCCAGCTTTCGCATATGGCCACTCTATCATGGGGCATTATTCCACGTCCGCACTCCCGAATCACTCACAGTTTCCTTTACTTCCTCCCGACCCACCAACATCACAGCCTTCACATAAGCATTGTCTATAGATAGGCATTAACAACTGTTGCATAACACTAAATATAAATCATTGACTTAGACCGCCTCCTAAGACTCGATCAAGTCACTTGGGTAAGGCTAGTATTGGTGCTTAGTCTGTTATGTTGGAGTGTTTAGGGCGTTAGGGTAGGTAAATGAGCAGTTTTACTGATATCCGCAAGCACTAGTAAAACACCTAACGACAAACACTAATACAGCTTTAACGGGGTTGCTACGGGAGGTTTGGGGAAGCCTGTAGCAAGCCGCCGAGACGAAGCTCCATAGATTTTGACACGAAACGAAACGGAGGGGCTCAATACCGAAGGTGCGTAGGCGATAAAGGCTCGTAGACCTTTCAACATCATGCTACGGGGACTAGAACCTTTCTATTGGAACTTTATTCTTCTAAATGGTTTCTGTATCTGAGATCACACAAGTTATAATCTAAAGTAGAATAAATAATACCAAAGCAGCAACAGTGCCAGCATTGATATAAATACACAAAGAAACGGGATGCGTACAAAAAGATTGCAAAACTTGACTGAATAGATAAAGTTTAAAAACGCAACTCGTCCATTATGTAGGTCGGTTCTGGGCTATCATATTCAAAGCAAAGCTGTTCGACGACCTGTCGTGCAATAACGGTATAATCGCTAGTATCATTGTTGTTCACTGTTGTTGCTTTGGATGCTGTAGTGGCGGTAGAGATATTGTGCACACCACCTAGAACCAGGGCTACATCAAGACCAGCTCGACGTGCGCCTAAAACATCGGTTGAAATATTATCACCAACACACAGCACTCGTCGTCGTCGACCATCATCGCCAGCACCTTGTTGTTGTTCTTGCTGTTGAACAATCGATGAAAGATATCGATAGATCGTAGCGAACGGCTTACCAAAGTAGAGTACCTTGCCACCCATTTCTTGGTAAAGCTCACCAATATAACCAGGGCACATGAGCAAACGTGGGGTTCCATCACTATTACTCCCGTTGGGTGCGCGAACATCAGGATTGGCAATGACCAAAGGAATATCCTTCTCTCGACATTGGCGTAGGTATGCATCATAGTGTTGCCGTATGTTGTCACGATCATTTGGGTTTACAAGTTGTTGGTGCGGTAAACTCATGATTAAACCGACAAGGACAAAGTCGACTTCCATATCGTCTAATGATACAGGGTTCATTTCAGGTGCAAGTGCTTCGTACAGTGGTGCATGATAATCGGCATTGCCAATCAAATGGAATCGTCCAGTTTTGATGTGATTCTGTACGAATTCATGGGCTGTTATAGTGCGCGATTCAGTGTTGTTCTTGTTGCCGACAAGCATGGTTGCTGAACAATCGGTGGTGTCTTTCTCGTGGTCAGCAATGTTCGTCGTCGTCGTCGTCACTGTTGTTGTGGACTTTGTACGTTGTCGTACTAAATCTATACAGTCGTGCAAAAATCGTCTCGTCACATCGCCACTTGATAATACTCTCTTGTACTTGGTTTTGTCGAATCCGTACTTGCGCTGCAGATCGTTGGCAAGAACGTTGCCGAGTCGTGAAGAATTTGAAAGTAGTATAGTTTCAAGCCCGAGATTGTGTAATTTCTCTATGCATTCGCGTGTATACGGATAAGGTTTCGCGCCATCATGTAAAACACCATAGACATCACTTGCAATGGTGTAGTATTCGTTCTTGGATATGACCGCTTGAAGTCCCTGAATATACTGCATTAGGTGCGACAGGCGAGCCTGAACAGCGGCCGTGATTTTATTTCTGTAACGTGTAATGAGTTTTGGAATACCGCTCGAGTAATACACCTTGGGTGCGCAATAAAAGGTAAGCCTATAACATCCAGTGTCAGCATCAAGCAAGTTTTCCTTTGGTGGTGGAGAGCATAGTATGCATTATCACAGCTATGTTTTGAAAGAAACTGAATCAACATGATGCTCGTGCGAGAGATGGCGTACTCAACATAAACACTAGAGACACATGCGAAAAAACGAGAAAGCGTATTAAAGCGCGCTGGTTCGGACAATACGAAAAATTACTGCAAGCGGCATTTTAGCTTGTTTTTTTCCTCTTTTTTTTTTTTATCGTTCCGTTCTTTCTCTTCGGTTCTCTTCCTCCACCTCCCAACAACACAAAAACATACTAAACGTTACGTAAACAGAAGAATGGAGGTGCTGACGACGGTCAATGCGCCGTTACCAGTACTAGAAGAGACAACAACATCGAGTCCGTTTCCCCCATTTTATTCAACGGGTCCATTTACATGGGCAACACCTTTCTTCACCACACCGACAGCTTTACTGACGGTTACTATCGTTCTTGGTTTTGGACGTTATCTCGTTACACGTGGAAGACCATGGTTAGAATCACCAACAGCACGACATCGTCTATCGCCTCTGTCGCGTCTTATTGTGGCCATTTCCGTCACGATTCTTGTCACTTTTGTCGCCGACGCGATTGCATTGACAACTCGGGCTATTGTTGAACGACAATGGACCAGCAGCGTCTTGGCTTATTACATTGGCGTCTCCTGGCTGTCCTGGGCTATTGCGCTGGCTTGCCTGACGGATGAAACTTTCAAGTTTGGCGAGTGGAACTGGGTCCAGTATATGTTTTGGATGGCGGCCGCGTTGGGCGAAACTATGGTTGGTTGGCTTTGGACTGTCGGATTGCTTCGTCCCAAACCAGGTAAAGAAATTCTGGCTCTATATGCATATGCGATCATTGGGAAGGTTCCTCGCTTATTCACTCACAATGTGCGCGTGTGTGTGTGTGTGTGCACTCTAAAGGCACAGTGTTTAGTCTTTATGACTATACGTTCCTTGGAATATTCATTGCTCGCTACGTCATGGAGTTGTTGACCGTGCTGCTGTGCGTGATTCAAATGTTTTCACGACGGAACCACAGTGCTAGCGAACGGGCACCCTTGTTGGGTGCTATGACAACAACGGAGAACCGTTATGGCAGCACACCCGCACTAGCAGACGAGAGTGAAACGTCTCGGAAAGCAGAGCCGAGTGCGTTTTCAAACTTTTTTGGAAAAATGCGAAAGCTGCTTCCGTACATCTGGCCACACAAGTCATTTAGACTGCAGCTGCTGGTTCTGGTGTGCTTTTCACTGATGCTGGCTGGCCTGCTTGTGAATGTTTTGGCACCACTGCAGATTGGCAAAGTGGTGGATGGGTTCGAAAAAGACAAAGGTGAGGTGGTCGACACGCACACACGGAATCACGACGTGTATATGCTCTCTTTGCTAAAACGACAGAAAATATTGTTTTTGTAGGCAAATTCGCATGGGCTGCTGTCCTGGTTTATGTCGGTCTTCGATTCCTGCAGGGTGGGGTACGCGTTATTTTTTTCTGGGTTGCAGCTTTGTGTGTGCGTGTGTGTGTGTGTGTGTGTGCTATAGTGGCCAAGAAGCTCTCGACAAGACCGGCTGTTTACATTTAATGTGTTTCATGTTTGCGTGTGTGCCATCGTCATTATCATTAGTCTGGCCTTATCCAAGCCATGCAGAACTGGCTATGGATCCCCATCGGGCAGTACACCACGCGTGAAATCTCGGTGAAAATGTTCAGCCATCTGCACGGCCTGTCGTTGCATTTCCATATCAATCGAAAGACAGGCGAGGTACTGCGCGTAATGGACCGAGGCACCAACAGCATCGTCCAACTTTTGTCCCAAATCCTGTTTCAAATCTTTCCTGCGCTGGCCAACATTGTTGTCGCCGTGTTTGTGTGCGCCGTCAAGTTTACGCCACCCTTCGGCCTGATTGTGTTTCTGACCATGTCCTTCTACCTTTTTGTCACCATCGCCCTCACCGAATGGCGCACAAAGTATCGTCGCACAATGATTGAGCTGGACAACTCGTCACGGACCAAAGCAGTCGATTCGCTGCTGAACCTTGAAACAGTAAAGTATTATGGTGCCGAGGACTTTGAAATCAACCGCTACAAGAATGCCATCATCGAGTACCAAAAGGCGGACTGGCTCAGCTCTACTTCGCTCAATGTTCTGAATCTGGCGCAGAATGCAGTGATTAGCGGCGGATTGCTCGCTGGCTGTCTCTTGTTTGCCTGGGAAGTTTCACAGGGCCGCCTTACATCCGGTGACTTTGTATTCTTCAACATGTACATGATGCAATTATACACTCCAGTAAGTTCTGCTCAAGCGGCTGGTGAATTACTATGTCGATATTAATTTTTTGTGCTCCACTTGTTGTTACACGCATAGCTGCACTTTTTCGGAACGTACTATCGCATGATCCAATCCAACTTCATCGACATGGAGAAGATGCTCGCTCTTTTCGAGGAAGAGCAGACCGTCAAGGATGCCCCCAATGCAAAGGATTTGGCTGTCAAGGAGGGTCATGTAGTGTTTGGTAAGTCCCAGTTGCTTGCAAACCTTATACAGCCAAGTGTTCTAATCATCTACATTATATATCCAGATAACGTTACATTCAGCTACGATCCTCGACAGACGGCCTTGAACGGCATCACATTCTCAATTCCCAAGGGTGCCACTGTTGCCCTAGTGGGCCCTTCTGGTGGAGGGTGAGTTTGTTTCACTGCATGTAGTCTTAGAACGCTAAGCAACTAACCTGGGGCCCCACATCTTTTTATTTTTAGAAAATCAACAATCCTGCGACTACTGTTCCGTTTCTACGATCCTGACTCTGGCCATATCTACATTGATGGTCAGGACATCAAACAGGTCCGTCAAGAATCATTGCGTCAAAATATTGGTGTTGTCCCACAGGATACGGTGCTCTTTAACGACAGCGTACTATACAACATTGGTTATGGCAACATTAATGCACCTGAAGATGCTATCTTTAAAGCGGCCAAGGCTGCCCAGATTCACGACAAGATCCTTCAATTCCCCGATGGTATGGAAAGTCTCTGGATATGTCACCGAAAAAAACAATAGGACAATCGTCTTGACAAGCCCTCCCTTTTTATTTCAACACAGGTTATGAAACACGAGTGGGTGAACGCGGTTTGCGACTTAGCGGCGGCGAAAAGGTAAATAAGATGAACACGTACGGATAGACTTTGGGGAGCGTACGCTAACACTGATTTCACTTGTGGGTACACAGCAAAGAGTTGCTATTGCTCGTACCATTCTGAAAGATCCACCGATTATTCTTTTGGATGAGGCAACGAGTGCATTGGATACGTAAGTGACTCCCCCATTTTCGTTTCAAAATGAGACAGTGAATGAGAAGTTTATCTTTCTGACATTTATCATCCTCTCGTAAGCGGCACTGAACGTCAAATCCAACAAGCCTTATCGATCATGACCAAGGATCGCACTACACTCGTGATTGCTCACCGTCTTTCGACCATTGTCAATGCTGATCTGATCTTGGTGTAAGTGATATGTAAACATGAAAAATGCAAGGAGTTCTCTTTAGACTGCAAATGTCTGATTTCCCTCCCTGGCTTTTGTGTATATAAAGGATCAAGGATGGCCGAGTGGTTGAGTCTGGAAGTCACGAAGAACTGATCAAACAGGGCAGCGACGGTGTATATTATGAAATGTGGCAAAAGCAGCTCCATGATGACAGTGATGGTAGCGATGCTGAGGCAACAAATGGCGGACCTCACAATAACACATATGGTAATGTGGAGAGTAATAAAATGTCGTTGTCAGCAGCAGCAGCAGCAGATGATGCCGTTGTCCCTGAAGCAGCTCCCAGTGGTCCCATCCCACCCACGGGTCCAGTCCCGCCAATCGATACACGATCCCCAGCCGTAGTAGTCTCGGAATCCGAAAACAAGGACTCCATGGTCTCATCACCCACTGAAATGGAAGGTCAGCAGCAGCAGCAGCAGCAGGAAGAAGAAGAGGAACAGCAACAGCAAGACCAGAGCGGCAGCGTCACTCCGGAGAATAGGGATGATGAAGAAGAAGAAGGAGGAGGAGCAGCTTCATCTAATGCCCAGTCACCACCGAAAAATAGAAAGAAAAAGAAACGTTCCAAGAGTAGAAAAGGCACTACATTCTGAACAGTACAACAACACACACACACACACACACCCTTCATCCTTCTTTCTTTCTTTCTTTCTTTCAAATCAGCATTCCCAACCGATAAAACACATCGCAACAAAAACATTGTATTACTGAGAAAGGTTTGCTAAGCGAGAAAGAGAAACCAGCTCTTCATCGGTCTATATGATATGCATGTAACCGTATGCAAAAAGTACTGTTTTTCTTAACTCCAAACACGTATGGCGCCATCATCCCCGGCTGTAACTATCGCAACATCGGATGGATGATAATCTACAGACGTGACCACCGTGTCATGCGATTTTAATGTTTCTACTTTATTTCCTTCGAGTACGTCCCAGATATGAATATGGCCGTCTTCGGATCCGCTCACTGCATATGCGTCTGTATTTGACATGACCGATTCGACCTTGAATTCCTTGTGTTTGTGCCCCGTAAATCTGTATTGTGTTTGATGATGATGATGAGTTTTTTTTATATATATACTATGATGATGATGATGGAAGAAAGAAACCATGCAAACGTACTCGTTCAATAGCGTCCCATTGGACTTATCCATCAGACGTACGGTATCGTCTAGAGTGCTTACGAGTACACAATTCCCGTCATGCGATAATCGAGCAGATGTGATGGCCGCTACATATCGTCCTCAATTTGTCAGCGGTTTACCTTATAAAATCCAATACACAATGGAAGAATATGGTTCTTCTTTTTTTTCCCTTACGTCCAATATAATCTTCTGATAATTGTCCATTCCTTAAATCATATCTTCGAACGCGCCCATCAGCCGATCCCGCCACGATCTCCACGTCTCGGACTTGGATAGACATGACGCTATCTTTGCAGTCTTCAAGAACTTGGATTGGGGAAAAGTTGGATGACCTGGGGCAAAAATAGGAGTTTTTTTCAGATTTTCGTATGGGTAGGTGCTCCTATCCAATTTTAATTACTTACCTACAATCCCAAATACGAACCGTTGCATCAAAAGATCCTATTAAACAGAGAAACTTTACTATATTTCACTCTCACACAGTGTTCAGACTCGAAACCTTCTCTCCATCCTTTCGTTCACCACATTGTGGTTTTTTTAGCATATAATCGTACCACTGACAAGAACCGTGCCTTGATCATTGAAATCCACTCCATTCACTCGCTGCCAACCCGTGCCAATATGAAAAATATATGAAGAAATATGCAATTCAGTTATTCTATTAGAGGGTTTGGCATATTTCAATGCAACTGGATGCTTTTGCCCAGTCCAGCGAATACGTTACCTCCCAGTGTGCTGTGTACCGCCGTAAGATCTCGCCCGTTCCAACATCCCATAAAATAACAGCGCGATCAACACCGCAACTCGCAAGTTTGGCATTATCTGGCGATCTATTCAAACACCAAGTTTCTTTTTTAATTTGAAGAAGCTCTCTCAATCTCTCGACTATAGAAAGAAGACTTGATGAAAAACTTACACTGAGACACCGAGTACATCGCGACCGTGACCCATGTATTTATGTAGTTCCATGCCTGTCGTCGGATTCCATAATCGTACTGTCCGATCGCGTCCACCGGATACACAGTATTGCCCGGATTTGTTATAGCGTACTTGACTGATAGGTTCTTTGTGACCAGTGAGTGTGTGATCGCAGTGTGTTGGATAAGGTGCCATGTTGGAGGGAATGGAAGGGTATATATACAATAAAGTTTCAAAGAGAAAGAAAAATCCGCCGGAGGACGCATAGAGCATTTTCTTCCTGTTTCCCGGCGAAACGGATTACCCCGCTTTTCTTGTTTTTGAGCATCCCACTGACTACAAGATATGCACATCAAAAGCATATTATAAATGCTGCTGATTATGCTCGACGTATTACTCGCCGTCATTCAGTGAAGAGGAACTCTTTTCGTACGGCTAACCAGTTATGAACCATCGATATCATGCGCGGCAACGTAACACCGCCCATGGTGGTTTGTCATTCTTGATAAAGGAATGGTACAGTGCTTCCAACAGTCAATGTCGCACACGGTCAAAAATGATGTCGCAAGCCAATGAAAATCGATGTCGTCAGTTATTCAACATCAATTTCGCACTTTCCGGGAACCAAGTCGTATTTTAGAAACATGTCGTGCATTTGAAAATGAAGTCGTGTTACGATGATTATGTGCGGTACACCGTTCAGGATAAGGCTCGATTTTTCGACCTGAAGATTGAAAAGTGTATGAGCGCATCAGCTGCAGCGAAGCAGTTGGGTATTCACATTCGAACTGCGCAGAGATGGGTTAAGCAGTACACTACGCGTCCTTAAAGTATTTTCGAGGTTTGTAAGCAGGTTGGTCGTAAATGTATCTTGAGCGAAGAGCATAAAACTGCTGTTATCGACTTCATTGATGGCTAATCCTTCTGCTGCTGTTGTTGAAGTGACTGAATGAGAAGTGAGTGCAATCTTTCTTTGAAGAAAGCTGACTTCCATTCTATCGAAAGAAACAGCCCAGCAAAGGTTGAAGAGAGACATGATTGGGTTCGTAAATGGGAAAATACTGATATGAATTTTTTGACGAATTGCGTGTTTCTTGACGAGTCAGCTTTTGATATCAATATGAAACGCTCAAGAGCTTGGTTTAAAAAAGGTACGCGTGCCATCGTTACTCGGCCTACTACGAGAGCAAACACAACATCAATACTGGGTGCTATCTCAGCTGCAGGTTTGATCAGTTGGCGTAAAAAAACCAAGACCTGCAAAGAAGAGAAAGACGGAAGGGTATGTAAGCTCAGGGACTGTGACTGGCCACTACACAAGTTTCCTAAAAATGACTCTCGATGAAATGGACAAACATCCTCATATGAAGGGTCATTATATAGTTCATGGATAATGCACCCATTCACACGCATGAAAACATGAGGAAGTACATTGAGTATCGAGGATACAAATGTGTATATCTTCCTACATACTCTCCGGAGCTTAACCTAATGGAACAGTTCTGGGCAATAGCAAAAAGTAAGATTAAGCGCCATAGGCTTTTGCAAGAAAACACTTTATCAAAGAGAATTACAGAGGCGTGCAATAATGTAGAAAAAGGTCACTTCAAAGGTTTCGTTTCGGATTCTTACAAGTGTTGGGATAAATGTCGAAACAGGGAACCAATGTAATGGCCACTGACCGCAAACATCTCTCACGCAGCGAAAAAAAAAAGCCTCGAGCACCCAGTGAGCTTCAAGAAGACTCGATGAAGACAAAAAGGTGGTGATGTGGAGGCAAAAGGTGATGATGTGAAGGCAAAAGGTGGTGATGTGGAGGCGCACTCTTTCCAGAAAACCAAATCGCACTCTGAGGAAACCGATGTCGCAAAGGCTGAAAAATGGCATCGATTTTTTAATTTTCATTTTTGGAGAAAGGTGTAAGATTTTCTTTCCCTTCTTTCTTTCATTTTCACTATCTTACATTCTTTATGGCAGTAATCACTAGGGGGCAAGCTTGTTGTATGGTATTAGGAGAATAAGTAACAAATGCCAATCGCGTTAAATGTAAAGCAATCGTTGACTCTTATCATCCGCCATTGGAAGTTATCTATACAAGCGGCGAAGGCAACCGACGCCCTTTCACAATTGGCAAACAAGTTGCTGCGTGGGATCCTTTTACATATCATTGTTATGTTGACACCCCTCCCACTTCTCCTCGTATTGCAAATACGGTGATTAGTAATGATGAAGCAATAAACTGTAGGCAAAAACAAAACAAAACAATGACAACAACTTGTGAACGAAATGGCACTCATTTTTTTATTATGTTTTGCCATAGGCTCTGATTCTTCATCTGTTTCTTCTGACAAGTCTACCTACAATAATTGTAAGTGATTGCTTATTCGAGTACATTGTGAAGCTGATTGTGTGAGTGCTGATATTGTCACAACCACTTAGTAAAGCCAACAAAACACTGTGTACTTGATTTCTTCAATTGCATCGCATCGAAAGATGCACCAGTGAACAGAAAATTATACACATTTGGTCATTAAAACAACATCGAATTATTTGACCTTGTCAAGAGCTTTATGCCGGATATAGTTGACATTTACTCTGCCACACAAGTGACTGATTGGTTGTCAAAGGATGGTCGATTTGGCTACTCGTAAGTTGCACGCATCAGTAGCAAAAGAGAAAAGCAACGAACTTTGTGGATTGTTAAGCAAGAGCATTGGGGTGAGTATATAAATTACGGTGCATGTCACTAAAAAAACAAAAGTACAAAAGGAGTTATCCTGAAATAGTTCACAGATTTTTAAAAAACATAAAAAACATAGAAAAAAATTGAAAATTGAATTCTGGATATATAATAAAAGATGTATTATAAACAAGACTCGAAATATAATGATAATTATACCATTTGTTAAAAATATAGGAATGTTTTTTTATTATAAATAGAAAAAAGAAATATAGTTCGACATATATAATAAATAATCTTAATATCCAATTAATAATCAAAAATTTTATTATTCTTGAAATGATTATTTTAAATAGAAATAAATAAATGTTTATATATCAATTATAACATTTATAATAAAAATAGAAATAGAAATAGAATTTAAAAAGAAAAATATTAAAAGTTGTTGAATTCTATAAAAAAAATATAAAGTCTTATTATAAAAATAACAAAAAAGATAATAATGAAATTTTGATAATAATATGTTTTGTTTTGAAATTATGGATAAAAACAAAGAATTAAATATAATCATAAATTTCAATAAAACAATAATAAATAATGATAATCAAATAAAAGTAAATGTTAATAAAAATAAAAAAAGCATTAATAGTATTATAATTTCTTTGAATATAATTTTTATAAATATAAAAATAAAAAGTTTTTCTTATAATATCTTTTATAATGATAGTAAAAAAATATAAAAAAAGAAATATTATTAATTTAAGTACGAAGTCAAAAATATATATTTTTAAAAAAAAATTATTAGTATCAATAAAATGAATAAAACATTTGTATTTTACATCTGTGAACTATCTTCTGAATCGACTGTGCAAAAACAAATAGTCCTTTTTTTTATAGATGAAGTTTTGAAAATCACCTTCAACATGAAATCGTTTTTGGACGCATCAATGGAATCATATGGTTGGATCAACATCAGTTATGCTCTTATGCACGAAAATCACGCACAAACGAACCTATGGAAAATAAGATCAAGTCAATACAAAAGATGACAGATTGCCTCCGTATCAAATGTCACTGTGCGAAAGTCTTCTTATCCCCCATATGCTCCTCTGGATTGAAATTATGCCAACGTGATACAAAGCCGAATCTCAATCTCATGGACAGTGTTCGCCATAAGCATGGCGATATGGCAAGGTAGACAGCAACGAAACTGGAAGTTAATAGTTACTCATTTTTTTTATATCTGCATATGATTTGATTATGTTTGCGAAACAACCAACTTTTCTATACGGCTTGTTATGCTGGACTACGTACGCTGGCTTATCCATGGATCTCATGGATATACGAAAATTTGTCAAGTATGAAAACAATTGCCTATAAATCATGGATTTCTCGTATGAACAGCGTTCACATTTTTTACAGTATTGTATCCATAGAGAACTTAAATCAATCAAGAAACTGGTTGTATACTATGGACACAAATTCGAATGAATACCACAACAAAACGTGTGGTAAACCACACTACTTGAGATTGATCCAGACAACTCACCCCACTCCGCCGTCTTCGTAACCATTAGAACGCAGTAGAGAGAACACCACACACACGGATGAATCAAATATTACATAATTAGCACCATATCGATAATCTCTCAAACATGGATCACAATCGAGAATAACTCAGGACCAACCATTGTATACACATTGCCCTATTCTCGAGTTAGTCAGCACTTCCTTTGAATCTAGCTTATCTGAGTTGAGCGAAGTGTACCTGTCAAAGAGCGGATACCAAGTCCAGCACTGACAAAGGTGAGACTTCGCCAAACAAGGAACACACTGATCACGGCAAAGATGACTCTTTACAATCGGAAGACAACGTTCATTATCATGGCCGACAAACTCAACCTTCCCATCCTTCTTCATCTTTGAAACATCCGAAATCCGGCATGTCCGCGATCCATTCATCTGTTCATCCAAACGGAAGTCTAGACACCATTTTCAACAGTATATAAAGGGTTGTGAATTCATTCAATAAAATTCATCTCATATTTGACTCTCACTGTATTTTCATATTGTCTCTTATTCAATCTTTTACTCTATCCATAACCCACGTTTATCACAAAACGTTCTTCGTGGAATTCTTATCAACAAATTTGATTGTCGGCCTGGTTGTGTCAAGCATTCGTTGATATGAACTTCCTTATTTCATCTCACCCATCCACCTTACTCCAATGATTAATTAAGGATACCAATTTTTCTATTGTTCCTGCAACTCGCAGCGTATTTTCTCACTTGTGAAAAAATGGAAAAGAAATCCGTAAATCGTTCTGCTCTTATTCACCAACACTATATTTGCTTTCATTCTTATGTGATGCACCACATTTCATCTATTTACAGAAAATCCAAAGAGAAAAATTTACCAAAGGCAGACTTAAAACTTGGCATAAGTAATTTCCTTTTTTACATGCAATTGTGCCCAATCGTTGCCGCACTTTGCCTTCACATCACCACCTTTTTGTCTTCATCGAGTCTTCTTGAAGCTCACTGGGTGCTCGAGGCTTTTTTTTTCATGCTGCGTGAGAGATGTTTGCGGTCAGTGGCCATTACATTGGTTCCCTGTTTCGACATTTATCCCAACACTTGTAAGAATCCGAAACGAAACCTTTGAAGTGACCTTTTTCTACATTATTGCACGCTTCTGTAATTCTCTTTGATAAAGTGTTTTCCTGCAAAAACCTATGGCGCTTAATCTTACTTTTTGCTATTGCCCAGAACTGTTCTATTGGGTTAAGCTCCGGAGAGTATGTAGGAAGATATACACATTTATATCCTCGATACTCAATGTACTTTCTTATGTTTTCATGCGTGTGAATGGGTGCATTATCCATGAACTATATAATGACCCTTCATATGAGGATGTTTGTCCATTTCACCGAGAGTCATTTTTAAGAAACTTATGTAGTGGCCAGTCACAGTCCCTGAGCTTACATACCCTTCCGTCTTTCTCTTCTTTGCAGGTCTTGGTTTTTTTACGCCAACTGTGGTCAAACCTGCAGCTGAGATAGCACCCAGTATCGATGTTGTGTTTGCTCTCGTAGTAGGCCGAGTAACAATGGCACGCGTACCTTTTTTGGACCAAGCTCTTGAGCGTTTCATATTGATATCAAAAGCTGACTCGTCAAGAAACACGCAATTCGTCAAAAAATTCATATCAGTATTTTCCCATTTACGAACCCAATCATGTCTCTCTTCAACCTTTGCTGGGCTGTTTCTTTCGATAGAATGGAAGTCAGCTTTCTTCAAAGAAAGATTGCACTCACTTCTCATGAAATTATAAACAGTGCTACGTGAAACTTTAAGATCCTTGAACCGATTCAACAAATGTTCAGTCACTTCAACAACAGCAGCAGAAGGATTAGCATCAATGAAGTCGATAACAGCAGTTTTATGCTCTTCGCTCAAGATACATTCACGACCAACCTGCTTACAAACCTCGAAAATACTTTAAGGACGCATAGTGTACTGCTTAACCCATCTCTGCGCAGTTCGAATGTGAATACCCAACTGCTTCGCTGCAGCTGATGCGCTCATACACTTTTCAATCTTCAGGTCGAAAAATCGAGCCTTATCCTGAACGGTGTACCGCACATAATCACGTTTTGTCTTTTATACGGATGTCTTCATCTTTTGGCTTTTCTATCAACATTGGACAAACCGATGAAGATTCTCAAGAGGGCATATCTTTCAAGTACTCACTATGAGTCGCAATCGACTCTACAATAAATTCATTCTGATCAACGATATATTCCATGGGTTCAGGGCCTCCATTCTCATCAACGACATTTCCATGTCCATCTTCAAATAAAAATATTGCACTCATGTTAAACTATGATTACTGTATTACATACCGCATCAGAAGGGACCGTCGTAGGAATCCACAAAGTTGAGACATGTCAAATTGATGGTTTGTTACATGAAAGACGAAATGCTTTGCATTTCGCACACTGGCTAACAATAATGAAGAAGAGCGGATGTGCGTGTGCTATTTATGTATGTGGCCCTCGTCGCGATGACCCGCACGAAAGACTTCAGTATGGCTCATGACATGCTACTATGTACAGTTTTATTTGAGTGTATTTAACTAATAGTTGAAGGAAATTTATCATCATCATCATCGTCGTCGCCGTCAAATCACGAGATGAAAGCATCATCGTTCTTTTAAACGAGATCATTCTTTGACGGCAAAATTCGCTTTTTTCACTCTCTTCTCTCTGAGCATCCCTAAATCTGTAAGAGACGATGGTTGCAAGTATCATCCTAAAGTGTATCTTATGCCTGCAGACAACGTAATTAGACAAAAAAGAGAATGACAGAGCGTGGATCGAGAATGCAAAAATAAGCTGTATTTATATAGATATGTATAGCCAACATGCGTGTTCGTTGAGGATATTACACGGTGCTAGTACTACTACTACTACTACTATTATTAATATACAATATATGAAGACAAGGACAAAGGGGTGTAAAATCGGGTGACGGTCGGCATTGTGCTATTTAGCTGTAATCGCCAGGAACGATGCTCTGGCAACCGTATTCAGAGCGGCCCAGATTACAATCAGAGGAGTTCTTGCAGCAACGGATGCAAAAGATGTTGTCCGATGGTTCTACCAGGTTAACCCAGTGGCTCCAACCATTGCAAGTTCCACCAATCTCATTCTATATAGTGTAAAGTAGAAGATGTTTATAAGGATGATACTATGTTAGTACAATAACTCCATCAGTGACACTAGGAAGAACTAGCCCAAAAGAGATGCATAATAAGAGACATATGCATATCGACTGACCTTGTTATCATACTGTCCTCCTTCATCCGACGATGACAGCTGATATCTGGTACGGTCAATACGGCCGGTAACTTGAGAGTAAGTGGAAGTCGATTTGAAATGAGCAGATGTGATGAATCCAGACGGGAACTGACGTGTGCCTGAAGCTTGCTTGCTGGTGCAAAAGGGAACAGCGCTGCCTTCAGCATGGGCAATCTCCTCACCAGGAGAAGGTGGCAGGTACGAGCAGAACTGGGAGCTTGATGTCACCTTGATGTTGATGTTTTCGGCGCGTCTTTCCAAAGGCAATGCGTGGACCAAGGCGAGCAGAACGGAAACCAATACAATGAGGATTTGAACAATGCTTTGATGAGCTAAGAAGTACATGGTTCTGTGTTTTTTCCACTGGCGTTTAAAAAAAAGTAAAAGACTAGTAGTGTGCGTGTGTGTTTTGAAAAGCGTGTGAGAGAGAGAGAGAGAGAAATGCTGTTCTTGTTGATGATGATGGAAAGAACTGAGGGGCAAAAATTCTTTCACCCTTTTATATCCTATTCGGCCTGTTCATGCATCAGGCCGTTGTGGTCGTTGTAGACTAAGCTCCATGTATAAATTCCGTCCATCCGTCATGTTTCATTCTATTTTTACAAACAATAACAGAGCGTCGTGTTTTTGGAAGGAAAGGTATCCCATTCTTATTTTAGAGAATTTCCCTCACATTGAAAACAAAATTACAAAAATGATAGCTTTTACTAGCCAGTATCTGGTGGGTTGATGTGTGTGTGTTTTTAGACGTCCCATAAGCAGTTTTATTTTCCTGTTTGGGGAACAAAAAATGTTTGAAAATGGGTTAAAAAAACAGGACTGTACACAGAAACGAAAAAAATAATAAGGTTTTGTTTTTTTCTCTTTAAGGGACTGGTCAAGTGATATCGACCTCTTGCTCCCCTCTTCCCAACGAATGTTTAGTAATAGAGATTATGCAAAGAAAAAAAAAAGATATGCCAGACATGTAAGAAATAATAAATGCTATGATAAGTAGGATGGAGTGGTAGCAGAGGATGAGGTGGAAATACACCACAACTCCAATTTTTCCAATGTGGGATGTTTCGATGTCGCGGCATTGCGTGAGCGGCTCAGATACCGTGCCATATTTAGATCATCCTGGTCTATCATGAGGACCATGACGTTCTCTTCGTCCTTGTACTGGAGCCGCAGGTCTTGAGACGCGACAACGTTAAATTTAGCTCGAACGCGTGTCAGCAGTTCGGTGAACAAAATATCGCTCGGCACTAGCAGGATCCGTGTGTCGTGGTAGTGCACCTTGATCTTTATCTTGGCGTCCGGTGACGATGGCTGTTGTGAAATGTGTTTGTAAATGTTCTTTTTCTTTGGCTTGCTATTATTGGATATTAGATGAGGATATGATGATGGTTGCGATGGTGGTGGTGGTGGTGGGTGTGCTAGTGCTGGTACTGGTGGCGATTTTATCGGTGCTGCTGCTGCTCGTGCTTCGCCGCTTCTTTTGCTGTTGTTGTCTTTGCTGTTTGTTGTCAAATATGCATTCAGGGATGCATACACGCGGTCAAGCTCTTCATCCAGATCGTCACCATAGTAACTCATGGTATCCAGGGTACCGGTGTAATCGGCTTGGTTGTCCTGTGCGGCGGGTATAGGGAAGGCATTGTTGTTGTTGTTGTTGTTACGATCGGAAGAAGCGATAACAGGAGACACCATCATTGCTGTTATTGGCGAATAATTTTCGTCTTGGGTCGTGGGGCGGTGCAGTCGGCGTGCTGATGACTCGTCCTTTTTCAGAGTTGCCCGTCGATCCACGACCTTCCATGCATTCTCTGGGTCGTATGTTTTTTTCTTTTGTTGTTGTTTGGTGGGCGTTGTTGTCTGGATAAACGGAGGCGGATGTTGTTGTTTCAACTGAACAGGGTCAAACATGAATGGATCTAATTCTTCCGGGCTCGGTGGTCTTTGTTGTTGTTGTTGTTGCTGCTGCTGCTGTTCGAGAACTTGAGCCACAATGGGCTGAAGAGGCAGTTGTGGTTGCGGTACTGCCAAAAATGTTGCATCCGTCCTTGCAACTTCCTGCATCCAAGGAGCTGATGGTGGCAACAAGACCGAATTCTGTCGCTTACCGCCACCAGTGCCATTGCCGCCTTCATCATAGTACCCACCACTGTCGCCGCCTTGATTGTAATCCACTTGAAACTGCCGCATCTGCTCCATCTTCTTTTCAGACGGGCGGAACAGCGCACCAGGTGGAATGGAGTACACGGAGTAGTTTCTCCCCCGATCGCGCACGGCCTGGTCGATTATCTCATGCTCTTCTGTCAGTTTGGCTTTTTGGGAAAAGTACAAGTCGGTCAGCCCCGCATCAATGCGTCCTAGGTAGAGTTGACAGATGCCCCGATTGAAGAGCACCTCGCATTCGTAGAGCCGAAAGGACAGGCCAAGTTGATGATAGTTGATGATTGGATTGCCCCGAAGTTTCTTATGAAAGCATATAGTTTTAGTTATTAGATACACGCTGCTCTTGTAAGTGTAGTTTGTAACATAATGGATTCTGGTGATGCTCACCTTGTGAGCTTGATCAAAGTCTTCATATGCTTTAACAAGGTCGCCTAAAGCAAAATGAGCTACGCCGCGCTGAAAGCATGCCACGGCAAAAAATGGATCCATTTCCAGCGATTTCTTAAACGCGGCAACCTAAAAAGAATCACATTTTTTTTGACAGGTCAATAGAAACCGGTGCATGTGGCCGAAGCCGAAACGAAGGAAAGGGACTGCACTCACAGATCGACGATAGTCTTGAAGGACACCAAAAATCAATCCAATATTAAAGTGCATTCGTGCGTTATCTCCTATTCTCTTTTTCAGAATAATATTTCTCTTCTGTTGGTTCTTCTTTTTCATAGAGCTTGCTTCTTTTTTTTTTTTTTTTTTGAATAAAAGATTTTTACAGCGGGAAATTTTGATCAACTCACCATAAACGTTCGCAAGGCAGAATCATAGTCTTGATTGTCAAAATAAAGACACCCAGCTCGCCATTGCTCTAAATCCGATTGCATCAGCGGACGGTAGTGGGACAATTCAAATGGTGCGGTGGTAGCAGTAGTGGGCGATTGTAGTACGGTGAACTCCATATATATATATGCGCGAGAGAGATAGAGAGCGATAGCGACAACAACAACGACGACAACGACGACGACGACGACGACAAATCAACAATAGAAACGTCGAAAAAAAAAAAGAAAAAGAAAAAAAAAAGGTAGCGAGAAAGATTATAATAAGAAACTTATAGATGAGAAAAAAGAAGAAAAGGAAAGAACGATTCGCTCTTCTCGTCTTCTTCTCTTCTCTTTCGTATGTAGCATAGCTTACTTAAGGGTCCAGCCTGTGGGTCCATGGTGACATTTTGCATTTTCTGTATGCTACACAAATTTCTAGGTAACATTAAGACCACGCGAAAAGAAAAAAAAAGATACTCATGGATCTACTGTGTCGCGTAATAGACTTCTTTCTGTTTCTGTAACCTTTGTGACTAATAACACCCATCGATCTTGCTCTGTGCATACATCATTTAATTGCTTTACGACTTGTCAACTCTTATCATACTGTTGCTGATGTTCACGAATGGGAAGAAGCGTTGCTGAGTTTCTTGTAAACATTTGCGCGAAATTTGGTGAACTTGATAAGAATTTCATGGACCGAAAACAATGGGACGTGCGGGCCCTTGCAAGGAGCGGCGGATTGAGGCATATGCCCCTAAACATTGAACTGCAGCATCAGATGGACTCTATTGCATTACCATAAAATGTCATACTGCTTCAGTGACAAAAGTATCATTTGCATCTTTTCTTCCACAACAATCAAAGAATAATTAAATAAATCGATCTATGATGATACAATGGCGTACAAAGATATTAATAAGTTGGCACAACAACAACAGTGATTTACCACCATTCTTCTTGTCAACAGTTCTCTTATTTCGCCCACATTGTATAATGAAAAGAGAGTTGCACTCTTATTACCTCGGTAATATAATAAATATGTAATATTTGCATGCATCAATGTAATCGGGCCGCTAACCAAAGCAGTAAGGAAACCGGCTCTCCTTCCTTCTTAGCAGTGGAGAGGCTGCTGCTAATATTTTTGTGTAACCGAGAAACCCAACGATCTGTCAGAAAAAAAAGGTGATCATCGAAACATCTCTCTTTCGGTGCATAACGCGTCGTTTGACTTTATATACTTACAAAAGAAAAACCTACTCAATATAAATAATATAGTGCTTTACAGTGACGTACATTCACTACTAACATATGTTGTTTGGCTTCTGGAGAAAATATATTCTGCAGCTCCTCGAATGTCGGTTGTAATGTGTCTTCCTCTTGTGTAACTATCATTGTAATTAGGTAAAATCCACGACAGATGCGCGATCGCCGAGAATTCGGCCGACATGTGCTGTATCTAGAAACTTTATCCTGACTAGTAGAACTACCAAATTTTATGACCATGTTCTAATCCATTATTGAAGTCATTTAGCAGCTAATATTAATAGATGAGTCGGGATTATTCCGGGTTTACGATGATCATATATGGATTAGCAACCTCTCATATCCTACTCTTTAACGATAAAAAGTGGCTCGCGCATCCGTAACTGGTAAAATAGGGCGATCTTTTTTCTTTTTCATAAACCAGTTTTGATTATTTATATCAAGTAGAACACGCGTTTGTTATTGATGAAATTTAATCTCAAACACCATCATGGTACCTTCTGGATCAAAACCGAAAAAAAAGTAACATGCTTTCGCAGTGCCTACAGTACATCCAATAGCCCTGATAATATACAGCTACTATATATACAATAGTAGTAGTTACTGACAAGTTAATCGAGAGCTGAAAAGAAAACAAGAGCAGACTTTGATATACAGCTTTCGGGCCTCACAAGCGAGGAGAGCTGTCAACAAAAAGCTCTAGATCTTAAAGACTTTCAAAGACCAACAGCGAGTAATATCGGTGGTGATTCTAAACCTTAATCTTCTTTCTTTCTTTTTGGCTCGTTTTTGGTAAATATGATAAAGTAACTGTAGTTCCTGTTGCTTATCTAGTACCAAGTATATTGCTCTCTTTCCGTAAAAGTCTAACTCAGAAGCGTATACTACATACAGCAGCTACCCCCGCTCCATCACTTTCTCCCTAACGTACACATGAGTTGCACTAACAGGCTGTGTCTATTATAGGTTAAAAATTCCTACTTCAAACGTTCTTTAAGCTCGGTGGGTTGCGAGAAATATCAGTTCATCATCATCATTTCTTCATACATAATAGCACAAATTAAAAAGTAAGCCTAACACAAAAGCTGGAATTGTACGTGGAAATGCATTGCACTTTCCGGTGTCAGAAACGCAGGCTTATACTATGTACATTCATTTATCTATATCCTGTATCATGATAACTTACATGCTAGCAATAGATACATTTATCTTCAACTTATGCTGATGCACTATGAGTATTATCGGAGAAAAATCTCAGCATGGATTTCATATTGTGTGCCTTGAATGAATATCACGTCTTCTACATAGTACTTTATACAGTATTTATTACGAACTCTCGATATACTAAAGTAAAAAAAAATGTCAATTGATCTGGTCCATTATCTGAGATAATTAAATAATGAGGAGGTGCTGTTAAATATATGTAATACTAAAAAAGCGTTCAAATATCATGTCGATCGTGCTGTACTAACGTCTATTTCCTTCTGCGGATACCCGATTTAGCTGCAAAGCTCAATTTGGCTACCACCTTAAGCTCAAGCAAAAGAAAGAAATAAAGGAAACCAGAGCACGATGGCCTTGCACAGAGCGTGTGTTTCCAAGGCGTCTGAATTATTCAAGAAGGATGCTAATACGATACGGTGCCGAAGATAAGAAATGGAGTCATTGTCTATGTATAGTAGTGAAACATTGATGCTCGACAAGTAAAAGAATCTCCCATATGGTTTCGTTAAATGATCTGATGCATATCAGAGGAACCTACATCTGTTTTCGAAACAGAAGCTGGAACAAGTACATCTTTTCATCTTGGAAAGTGAATAGGAGGCGTGTTTTTTATGCAGTCGCGATGCTTGTTCTAACAAGTCAGAAAATGACTATACTAAATCTCTCTCGTATACTGACTAATGTTGTAAAATATGCGGATATACATGTAGATGCATCCAATAATCTGTTTGACGAAGGAGGCAATTTGTGGTAGCGCATCTTGCTGCTGACATGCAACGCTATTATTGTCCGTACAAGTTTCTCGTACTTATTCCAAGGAACACCAAAAGCTACCATATACGCATATCTGACAGAACCGTGGTGCCAAAAGTTCGATTCATAACGTCTAACGGTGTTTGTTCAACCATGCCAACGTACACATCAACAAAGGATATATTACCTTAAACGTTTATGCATCGGAAGAATGGGTTTTATTTTATTACATTGTATCGACTCGCGTCTCAAAACTAACATGTAGCTGAATCCAGAAAGTTGTTGGACGAACAGGAGAATATCATATGCAGTATTGCATTAAGAAGGTAACGAGAGTCAGATATTCGCGAATGAGTAAACACAAGTATAATTGAATCGTTATACATAGTAGATAAAAGACATGGTTATGAGCCAAGTCCACTACCTGATGAAAAATCCTGTATGTCTCTTCAACACAAGCCAATGCAATCCAGGAGTTTAATACGTATATGCGAGAAAAGAGCGTAAATTCAACAAGAATAAAAAGCAGCTGCTGAAGAAAATGATCCCGATAACAAGAAAAGAAATGTCCGCAATAAGCAACTTTACAAACTGATAACACGAAACAAAATGTTATTGATTTACAGGAGAGCGAGCACGCGAATTCGACGAACTTTCCTGTGCAGGAAAGGACAAAAAGGGCAGCAAGGTGGGAGAAGGCCGAGGCGATGCTCCGAACAAGTCCAACACTTTACGTGCGAGCCATTACCACAAGTACGACATGATCCTGTATCGATCCCTTTGTTGAGAAGTACTGCTGTTGTTTTTGAGAAACGAAGCTGGAAAAGATGGTAAAACAGTGATGGTAGATCGATCTACACTTTATCATATGCTGCTGCGTTTTATAGACCATGCCAGGGGAGACAGAACAATTCAAAATAGGTAGTGTTGCCAAAATAGTTGTTATTGCTATGCTAATCAACATTTTTCAAAATGTACAAGTCTGTATTGAAGAACGAATTCCTAAAGTACACATGGTCGTCGCATTTTATCAAGGAATGTAATAACTGATGTTTCATGGAGTTGCTCTATGTATATTGCCGTATCAATGTGGCATACATAACCATTGTCGTAAACAAACATTAGTGTTCTTTGTTCTCGAATCGAAGCTCAGTTTGCATAATACACAATGCGGTGTCCTACTGATCAATTATTAGCTGGTACCAGTAAAAAGCAAAATAGGATGCGTGGTGGGAACAAAGCTGGTGAAACATTTTTTTCCGCAACGTCGTATCAATTAATGCCACGCGCCACCAAAAAAGTAGTTGGCAGCTTGAAACACTCGCCCTATTTTAAGGATACGACGACGACGACCAGCAACAAAAACAATGACTCCAGCATCAACAACAACGACGACCATGCCAGTAAAAATAGTGGTGGGAGCACCATAATAAAACAACAACAACAACAAGACGAGGACGAGGAAGACGACGGCATGCCTGTTCCGGACAATATTGATTACGATCTCAAGGTCTTGTTTGTTGGAATCAATCCGGGCCTCATTAGCGCAGCAAAAGGACATCACTTTGCCGGTCCAACTAATCACTTTTGGCCCTGTCTTAGTGCAAGTGGTAAGCCCGAACGATACATGCTTTAGTTAGTGACAGTAATAGTAGTAGTAGTAGTAGTAGTATTATGTTTTAGCCTAAAAAAAAGAAACAGATATGGAAACTGGAGTTATCATTAACTGCTCCCCATGTTCCTAGGCCTTGTGGACAGAAAAGTCACGTTTGTTGACGACGTGAACCTTCCAGCGCTGTACCGTGTCGGTATCACCAATTTGACTATGCGGTCGTCACGCAAGGCATCGGATTTGACGATGGCAGAACAACGTGCAGGGATCCCCACACTCACAGCTAAATTCCGACGGTATCGACCACGGGTCGCTTGTTTTGTGGGGAAAGGCATTTATGAAATATACAGTGGAAAAAAATGCAAGCAAATGGGATTACAAGCAAAACGGATTCCATGGGATGATCAGCAAGGAGCCACACAATTGTTTGTCATGCCCAGTACCAGTGGGCTTGTATCTGCCTATCAGAAACCGGATAAAATAAAGTAAGCTAGTAGTAGTAAACGAGTCATCATCATCATCATGCAACCTGCACATGTATGTTGTCTTATTAAATCACACCACATTAAACTTAGATTCTTTCAACACGTTTGTCGGATTGCAGAGGAAGAGGACGCCAAGTATCAAGAAGAAGAAGAAGACGGTAAAGGAGTGTCGTCGAAGCATTCAAACCCACATGGAGTCAAGTAGTACATGGTTTACCCGTGATGTGGGTGTCGTCCCTTGATGAGTTCCTTGGTATGTCGTTAGCAGGGACAGAAGCAGCTGGCATCCTGCTTTAAAATTGCATCATGTGTAACATTGGCCAGAAAAAAACGGCCTCGTTTTCCTGGTGCTTTGGAATAAAAAAAAAAAGGGCTGTGACTCTTCCAAAACTGTACACACACACACACACACACATACGCTTTTGTAATAGTACCTTGTCCTCCCTCTCCCGCTCGCTTGCTCTTCACACTTTTTAACTCCATTTCTAAAAAAAAAAAACCCAAATGCCCCGAGGTCGAGATCATCTTGCAGTAGACGATGATGATGCCAAAAAGGGCTTACTTGACCCTTCGGCAGACTCGGACTATTCGGAAACCGATGAGGCAATCCATCAATACCATGACGACGACGACGACGACGACGGTCACCGCCGTAATAATAAAAATGACAATACCAACAGTAGTAGCGTAGCAACAACAACAACAACAGCAGCCATTGTGAGTAAACTTCAAGTGGCCGACAATGACAATAACCCGTCGACGTCGTCAGCAACAGCAACCACAGAATATTATGCGGCATTAGAAGTTGACGACAGTGAATTGACGCTGTTACCAAGGCACAGTATGGATCGTCGACGTTTGTTACAAGACAGTGACGACGAAGACGACGACCTGGAACGACCTGACACGTCGTATCGGTTGCCTTCAGAAGGTGGCTCTGTATTTGCTGGTTTTGTAAGTTTGGTTCTTTTCGACACGTTTATAAAAGCAGGTCCAGGGGGGGCGTTCCCTTTCCCCAGTGGGGAGGAGAATTAACTATTACTTAAAAACCTTTCTTTTTCGTAAAGTAGTTGAATATGTCCAACAGTATCATCGGTGCAGGCATCATTGGTCTCCCATTCTCCTTTAAAGAGGCGGTAAGACAAAAGATGAAAAAGAGAGGTTTGACTTTGGCCACAAAGTGTAACCGACTCGACTACTTTTACAAAAACTATAGGGTTTTGGAATGGGCTTAATATCACTTATCATTGTCACCATCCTTGTTGGTAAGTTTTCATATGGGCCCCACCCCCCTTGGAAGTTTCACTGATAGCTTACATCTGGGTCGTCTCTCTTAAAAAAAAGATTGGACAGTGCGTCTGCTCATATACAATGGAAAATTGTCGGGACGATCTAATTATCAAGACCTCATGGAACACGCGTTTGGCCGACCAGGCTTATTAGCTATTTCAATAGCGCAATTTGCATTTGCTTTTGGAGGTATAAAAAATAACACGGAATATATAACTTTTAGAGAAGGGTAAAAGGGCAAGAACGCAAGTGTTCAAGACTAACACGGACTTTTTGGGTTCGTAAATATAGGCATGTGCGCATACTGTGTTATCATCGGTAAGTAAACTGCAGTGGGACGGGGTGTTTTTCATATTGAATGGGGGGCAGAAAGGGAAAATCTATGTCTAGCTAATGACGTTTTCTTAAAATGTATGTGTATGTGTGTATGTATGGCATGGATTGGGGACGGTGACAAATAGGTGATACCATTCCTCACGTGTTTCGTTCACTCATACCAAACATCGATGACATTCCATTCGTATGGCTCTTTGGCAACCGAAGATTATGTATAACCTTTTTCACCGTTTTGATTGCCTATCCATTATCGCTGTATCGCGACATGTCCAAACTCGCCAAGACGAGCGGACTAGCACTAATCACGATTATTGTGATCTGTATCAGTGTGGCTATTGAGGGTCCAAAAATGCCACTCGAAATTCGAGGCAATCCGGATTTCCGGTTCAGTTTTGCCAACAATGAACTGATCCAGGCCATTGCTGTTATTAGTTTTGGTAAGACCGATTTCTACTTTTTTTTTTCATGTGAGGAGACCATGGGCTTGCTCCTAACATTTACTCTATTGAAGCATTTGTGTGTCATCACAACAGTTTCATGATTTTTGGATCATTGAGACAGCCTTCCATGAATCGATTTGCCAGAGTGACTCATTACAGCATGGCACTGTCTTTTGTCACTTGTACTGTGCTTGCAGTTTCTGGCTATCTGGTCTTCACTGATAAGACTGCAGGTATGTGTATATATATATGCGCAGTGTGGATTGATAGGATCGACAGTACTTGACGGAATTATGCATTACAGGAAACATTTTGAACAATTTCCCACCGGATAACGTATTGATCAACGTGGCACGATTGGCCTTTGGTATCAACATGTTTACAACGTTACCGTTAGAGGCTTTTGTTTGTCGTGAGGTATTTTATGATGGGATGATCAAGGGGGGGGAGGGGATGTTATAGATTGGCTGATGAACTGATTGAAACGGATGGATAATACTAGGTCCTTGAAACCGCATTTTGGCCCACAGCACCCTACAGTACTTTACGACACGCCACCATGACCACGATTCTCGTGCTGGTTCCATTGATCGTATCTTTATTGACATGCAATTTAGGCATTGTTTTGGAACTGACAGGCGGGTTCTCAGCAACCATGTTGGCGTATATCTTACCGCCACTCTCTTATCTCAAGCTGCAGTCCAAGGATGGTCTTTTCAAAGTCAACAAGATTCGTTACTGGGCGCTTTTGATATTTGGACTGGTTATCATGATCTTTAGTACTTTCTTTAGTATCCAGAAAGTTGTATTGGGTAGTTCAGGCGAGGGTGGTTCTTCTGCCGCTACGTGTGATCTGTAATAATTACTATTAATAATAATGTCAAGATATCTTTTTTTTTTTTAAAAAACGGAACCCTTATATGTATGCATCATCGATGACTATCACGCTTTCTTGTCGGATATCGTGTTGGCAACAATCGTTGCAAAACAATGCATCAAAGCTCACATGTTACGCTCTTACACATAGATCCGCTTCACTTGGAATACAGTGGTGCTTCTTTTTTTCCCTCAAGAAGCTCGCGCACCAGGTAACGCATTGAGAAGCAATGTATCCAAGTTGGCAAACGAGAGAGAGAGAGACAGAGAGAGACAGAGTGTGTGTTTGCTGGTTTACCTAACTGTTCAGATTGAAGGCTTGGTCAACCCTTTTGAAAGCCCGCATCTTATACAGAGAGGGAGGGAAAAAGAATGCTGTGAGCGAAAAAAAAAATTTTATTGGCAAAGGGACCCAGCGAAAGCGTGAAAAAGCTCCCTCTCTCTCTCTTTTACTTTGTATAAAACCATGCCCGGTATCACTGTCAAGGACGTCAACGCCCACGGTAATGCCCAACCTCGCTTTCTCTACCCCACCTTTTTTTTTGTTTTCGACCTACGCGGATTAGACGGGGGGAGAAGAAAGAAAAAAAAACAAATGCCTTCTTAAATGTTACATTTCATTGAAACAAAGAATTAATTGTAAAACGAATGAATTAGATTTCATCAAGGCTTATGCTGCCTACTTGAAGCGCACTGGCAAGCTCGAAGTCCCCAAGTGGGTTGATATTGTCAAGACCGGTACCTTTAAGGAATTGGCTCCCTACGATCCTGACTGGTACTTTGTTCGTGCTGGTGAGTTTAATAATAATACATAGATTAGGCTTTTGTTTTTTTGTGGGAAGGATCAACGATATTGATATGTCTTTCTTTTTAAAAAAAAAAGCCTCGGTCGCCCGCCACATCTACATCCGCAAGAGCGTTGGTGTTGGTGCTTTGAACAAGGTCCACGGTGGCCGTGTCAACCGCGGTAGCCGTCCTTCGCACCACGTCAATGCCTCGGGTTCCGTCAACCGCAAGGTTCTCCAGTCCCTCGAGAAGATTGGTGTCTTGGAGCAGGACAAGAAGGGGTAAATATATGATTTGACATTCAAGGATAAGCATATGTGAGAGCGAGAGAGAGAAAGAGAGAGAGAGAGTTTTTAACTTTTAGTGGCAAATTCAATAGTGGTCGCCGTATCACTCAGGATGGTCAGCGTGATTTGGACCGTATCGCCATGACCCTCGTTGATGAAGACGACGAGTAAATCTCAGCATCATCATCTTCATCATTTGTAAAATAAAAAAAAAAGTTTGATGGGTGGTTCTTTCTTTGTTCTTGTCTTTTTTTCTTTTGCTTCTTTGTAAATCGTTCATCGTCGTTCCTTACAAACGTCAAACAACAACAAAATACAATGTCGCATTTATCAAAGACAGCAGCAGCAGCAGCAGCAAAAGAAGAGAGGAGGACTCTCTCCCCCTCCCCTAACCTCGAACCGTTAAGATTTCTTTGCAAAAAGAAAAAAAGCTGTATTTACATTTTTGTGATTTTGGGAAGAGGATTGGGATAAAAAAAGATATAAAGAAGTGGGCTACGATAATCCAGCAATAAAGAAAAAGAAAAGAGGAGATGCAGGCCTAGTGGAAAATACAAGCCGCCAAGTATGGAAGGAAAAAAAAACGAGAGAGCTTTTACATTTATGTACAAGAGGATATATATATATATATAATATATATATATATATGTATGTATAAGAGAAAAAAGTAGGAGAAAAGAAAGGAATAGGAGAAGAAACTTTTTTTTTTTTTTCTCAAAAGAGAGAGCGGGGAACTTGTGTTGAAAGAGAAAGACAAGCGTTTGTTACATGCAGGAGATCGTCGTCGTCGTCGTCGTCGTCATTTGTCGTCGGTGTGTCGTTGAGGCAATGTAAACGGATATAAGAGTGCGTGTGCGTGTATAGAAGGTTTCCTTCATGCTTTGGGTATGGACTTTTTGATTTAATGGGAATTCGCAAATACACTTTGGACCAGTTGCCCAAGTTCAGATTGTTTGGCACACTGCAATTTGTTTGCAAGCACCAATTCCTTCAATTTCTATCCATGTTTAAGTTTTAGTAGCGTGAAAAACCACAATTCAGAGCTACCACAGAGGAAACTTACTGTTCGCACACATCGGGCACCCGGACGACTCTGTCCTTCAAAATCAAGCATCCAACGGATCACGCTGTTCATGGTGGGTGACGGTTCGGTAAAGGTAAACGAGGGAGGCTTGCCATACAAGATCTGGTAAAAGATCTGGCGGGTATCGTCCAAATGGTAAAGAGGTGGCACGCGGTCCATCATTTCAATCATGGTGATAGCCAACGACCATACGTCCACGTTTTCGGTATAGGGTTCTTCAGCAATCACTTCGGGTGCCATCCACTAACAAGGGTTCATACATATTAAGTGAGTACTCACATCTTTTTGGGTGTGTGTGTTTTTTTTTTTTGTACCTTTGCAGTTCCTAATCGTGCACTGTTTGTTCTGTTCAAAGGCGTAGCGAGACCAAAGTCAGCTACGTAATTGTTGATTGTTTAACGACATTGCCAACCAAGATAGTACGTACAAGAGTCAATGTGATTTAAACTTACCGAGTTTGACCTGACCGTCTCTGCCAAGAAGAATGTTTTCGCACTTTACATCGCGATGCATGTAGTTTTTCGAATGCAGATAGATGAGGCCTTCCAAACACTGTATGTACATAGAAGGAGAGTGAGTAGGGTGTGGGAAACAAGTAATAACAAGAACGACAATAAAAGAAACACGTGCCTCTTTGGCAATCGCAATGGTCATGGCTTCAGACAGGCCCTTTGTCGTATTAAATAAGAGATTAAATACAGAACACTGCATGAGCTCCATGGCCATCCACAGATCGTCCTTCCACATGCCGGCCTCCTTGAGCTGGATCAGATTGGGATGATTGAAACACCCCATGATACGCAGCTCTCGCAGCACATAGGTATGATGGTTTGTGTCGTGATCTTCAATCAGACACCGCTTGATCGCCACCTGACCTTTGTTCGCTGGTGTGTTTTGTCTTGTAGCGCGAACCACAGCTCCATTGGCACTACACGTATATGTGTTTTTAGTGTGTGTGTGTGTGTGTGTGTGTGTATACGTCGTGGAGAAGAAATAAAACTTACCCACTACCAATTCTCACCATGGAAACGTAATGTTTATGCGGATTGGCATCCATGATTTTGGGCCGTGGTAATACCTTGCGCATTTTATTTTCAAACTCGGGATGTAGGATTTTTCGGTTGGTCCGTGTTGTTTGTGACGATGTGATTGGCGGTGGGAGAGGGACAATGTCAGGCACTCGGCCGACGGGAATCCACGGTCGCTATCAATCAATTTTTGTGTTAATACAAAAAAAGGATAAGGCTTTGGATAGACCCGAAATAAAAAAAGCTTACAGTTATCTTTGGGACAGTCGTCTTCTTTTTGTCATTATTATTATTCGTATTGTTATTATTATTAGTGTTGTTGTTGTAGTTATTATGGGAATGGTGATTAGAGTTGTTGTTGCTATGATGCTGAGTATTTTGTTTTTCGTGTTGTAATTGTTGTTGACGGCGCTTCCATGCTTCTTCAATGATATCTGGCATCTGCCATTTGCCAGGACTTCGCCATGGTGTCTATCCCCAACCCCCATTCGCCGAATTTTTTATTTTTTTAGTACACTGACTGGGGGATAAAGGGCCGGAACACTCCGTAACTTTTTTTACCTTTTTGGCGGGCCCAGGGGTAGTACCAGCAGCAGCAGCAGCAGCAGCAACAACGGCAGCAGCGGCAGCTGCAAATGTAGTAGTAGTAGTATTCCGTTGCTGCTTTCCTTCAGTGGTAGTAGTAGTAGTTCCTCCTCCTCCTCCTCCGCCGCCCAAGCTTTCTTTTTTCAGAGATTTCGGCGAGGGCACCGAGAACGAGGAAGCAGAGGAACGGGCGCGTGACCATGTGCTAGTCGGGGAGGCAGACGGTGGCGGCGTTCGTTGTTGCTCTGGTGGTGGTGGTTGTTGTGCCTGCTGTTGTGATTGCTTCCCATAATTAGAGGTAGGCATGCCCATGATGGAAAAAAAGGGGAGGAGAGGAAGAGATGGAAGCACAAGAAATAAAATATAAAAAGAAAGACGGACTGTTTAGGGCAGCAAAAAAAGAAACAAAAAAAAAACGAGCTCACTCGACGGACGAAGAAAAAGAAAAGAGAAAGGAAGAGAGAAGTAGAAGAGGGTTTCCTTGAGGAAGAAAAGAAAAGAAAAAGTTTGTAAACAGCGTTACTGAATGGCTAATGCAGGAAAAGAAGGTTCAAGATAGAAAGAGAGACAATGCTATTGGAGGGCTGGTTCACCCACACACACACGTATAGTAGAGCAGCAACTTTGAGAGATAACTACAGTACAGACTCCCGCGCCCACACCAACGAATCCAACACCTCTTTTCTTTTTTTTTGTGGCACCCATCCTTCTTTCTTGTTTTCTCAGAACGATCACGGCCCCATAACAAAGAAACACACAAGCCTCTCTTTTTCGAACAAACAAACACACACACACACACACTTTTTCCCCGGGGAAAGGAAGAAGAAGTAGAAGAAGAGGGGTAAGTGCTGCTGAACTATTGCAGCTACTCACTGTTTTGTAATAGATTGCAAAGGTGTTTTTCTCTTCTTTACGAATATATGCCCCCCACCCATCCCCCCGAGAAACTCCTTGTAGCGGTTGTTGTTGTTGTTGCTTTCTCTATTTAGGGTAGCTTGCATTGATAAAAAAAGAAGCCGATTTGGGGCTGGTTTTTGCTTTTTTGGCTGTGTCGTTGTTCTTTGGCTATTAGAGTGTGCTACGGAATGAAGAGGGTTGTGGTGGGGGGGACCCCATTTGTTTGTTTGTTTTTTCATGGGCACATCCTCTTTTTTTTTTTCCACGAGAAAGCATTTGTACAGTGTGTGTACAGGATTTTTCCTAATGATTGGCGGGGAATATTTTTTTCATTTTGGCGTTGAGAGTCTTTTGATTGGCAGGAGATGAAAATTAGGCGGGAGTAAAGTAGCCGGACCTACACCTTAGCGAAACATAATTCGAGATAGTGAGAATTGTATCACGTAGTCTACTAGTACAACGATCCTATTTTTGGTAAAGTAGTGCCGTTTGCGTTTTTTCTTGATAAATATATTCTCACACCATGAGAAAACTTGACTACTTCATCCTTTTCTTCTTTTTATCTTGTATCAATAGACATGAGCGACAGAGAGCCCTACAATTTCAACTTTAAAAAAAAAGAGGCCGCAAAGCTGGTGGTAAAAACCCAAATGCTGGGCGCAAACCGAAAAAGACGAGACCTCTTGATCAAAGCGTACTCAAGTTTAGTGGGGTTGCGCAATCTGCAAATGCAGTCGACGATAATGTAATCACTAATACAACGGTAAGGTCATAACAAGATGCAGCAGTGAACTGTACTTTTGAATGTGTGCAGTAGTCTCTTACAAAATCGAACCAAATATTTAAAATATTCATCCGCGAGAAAATGAAATCCCATCACTACCGTCAAATATGCCGCACGGTTCTTGAACGCGTCGTGGTAAGCGAAACTCGTTCTTTGATAACACCGGTTACTGCATACATGATTTCTAAATATCTTGACAAAATATGGGCTCTTGCTTTTCACTATAGCCATCTTCTACATGTGACGAGCACAACGAGGATCAAATTGTGGGCCTTGGGAGTCTAGTGCGCGATTTGGAGGTTGAAAGTATGGAGGCCAAAGTTGAATGCGAGCACGAAGAAGATGATGACCGTGAAGCTGGTGACGTTGCTCAAAATGTGGAGGATGACACAACGTATAAAGAAGCTCCAATTTGTAGTCAGTATTTCATGGAACTACGCGCCCGTATCGTTGATGAATGTCAAAATGGGTCCAAACCGCCAAAAGTATACTGTGAGCAGCAACCGTTTTGGATCGAGCCACCAGCGCCTTATTTCTCTTTGTACAACACCAAGCAAGCTGATCAGATTCCACTGTATCGTCCGCGCGTTTTTTTTATGGGCTCCCTATTTTATCACAAAAGCAGTGTTGAAGTGTCCAATATGCAAGTAAAATAACGTTGATTCGCACTTGGTGTCAAAGGGACCTGCTGATAACCCATGTGCTCGTCGTGTTGTTGACCTTGACAGGTACTATTACATTACGATGCTTTACTTTTCTTTTATTTCAATTATGTAACTAATCTTTCTGTATGCTTAGATGTTTCTATATCATGTCTTATAGATACAAATGTTCAAACACAAAATGCATAAAAAACTATATGGCGCATGATAATCAAATCATAGAGCAGCTCCCGGAACATCTTCAGGCTGAATTCCCTGCGTACCTCACACATCGAAGCGCTGTTTCTAAACATCTTGGTGACTTGTTGCGGACAGTTGTCCAAAATGGCATGGGTGTTCATCGGCTGCAGAGAGCGCTACGCGAGTTTCATACTTTGCGCCACGCACGACTTCATTTGCAATACTTGAATTCACTTATCTATCGCCGTAAGAATCCAACTCTCTACGAATTAGCCAACAATAACCGTCAATTCAAGTACCCATCATTTTCGAGCTTCAAGGATCCAAACGGATATGCTGGTTACGTTCCTTCAACTGCGTACTTACGACTTGTATACACAGCCTTGATTGAACAATTACGCCCACTCATCGAAAAAGAGTTATCAGAGCTCGGTGGTTTGATTCTGAAAGGAGACCACACATTTAAAGGTTCCGAAGCATATGGCGAAACTTGGTGGCTCATCAGCATTCACAGCTTTGTATACTGTATGTAACGAATACGAGGAAATACGGCTTCAACTATTGGTGCCAACAAAGTCTGCCATCCATCTAGAAGGACCGTTAAAAGAGATGATCGAATCGTACCGTCTATACAACCATCCAATGCCAGAGCTATTCTTCACCGATAATGTGAAGGGCGACCAGAATCTTCTAGAACGCTCAATCCCGTCACTCACGCGCCCCATCAATGACAACAATAACAGCGATAACAAAGACAGTACACGATCGGCCGAATTGCAACAAAACGATGACCAAGGACCATTTCTACAATTACCTGACACAGTATCTATAACTGTACTTCAAGACGCTCCTGACGCCACTGATGCAGTTAACAATATTCGTAGTCGCGCTATTAATTCTGATCAATCTCTTGTTTGGGATTCGACTGTGAGTGGGTGTACAACTCTGTCACGCATCAAATTGGAAAAATTTCGCTGGTACAGGTTGCATGTAAAGATGCTGTATGGCTTTTTCGTTTGAAACCGTCTTCTGGGTGCGTTCCTGCCGCTCTCGCTTCTCTAATTCGTGATCCAAACATCATCAAGACCGGCCGCAACGTCAAGGGAGACCTTAAAAAGCTCAACCGTGATTATGGAATCACTTGGAACGGAGCATTGGAACTTGGCGGCTTCTGTAGAAGGCGAGGTGTAATCGAGCGAGGAACATTGGGTTTATCGGCCATATCTACAAGAGTACTCGGATCCGGTTTGCGTAAAGACGCAAATTTGCGCTTAAGTAACTGGGAGTCTACACAACTGTCGAGCGACCAGATATACTATGCTGCTTGGATGCATGGGCATCTTTACAAATATTCGATACAACGAAAAACTTAAGTACCTTTGGCGAATCAATCCGCACACCGGTAGCCAACCTTCATTGTTCGTTGCATTATCTCGATAATCCAGTCGCATTCGGATATGTTAGTGATCCGACAATTCACGACGATCATATAACATTTACTGTCAACAGAATCAGCGTGCCGGGCGCTGTTGTGAAGATAAAGAAGCTTGTAAACGGCAAACATGTTACAAGAATGAAGGCCTTGTCCGATATGGGAGACGTACCATTTGCAATTCAAGCTCCAGTGGCCCACCTACGCACCGAGAATCCAAGATTATGCACACTCTTGCACAGCGAAGTACCTGTCAATGATTTCGCAGTTGACGTCGAGCGAATAGCTTCTACTGCCGTGAATACCAGCAACAATCAAGAAGCGAATGATAGCCAATCCGTGTCGTCGTCGTCTTCTTCAGAAGATGAAGCTAATTTGCCTGAAACGACACATTTATTTACACAACCAACAACCACCATATCTGCAAATCAACTCCTGGTAGCATCAGTAACCCCATCACAAACCATTCGACGTATCAGCAACCCAAGAATTCTAAAAGATATATTCCATCTAATGGATATGATCAAAATCTCAAAACGACATGGTCTTGCAAAAGAGTTTTCCCGTCGTCTTCGAGATGCCATTTTTATAATTAACAATGAAGATCGTCAACGAATCGAGAATCACTTACGCACACAAGGCCTTTCATGGGATTATATGCTACTTCGCAAACCTGAATGGATTTTACGAAGAGTTCGACGAAGCGTCCCCCCAGCTGACGAGCTTCATTCTGTTGTTCAGAACTTGTTTGCCGAGTATGGTCGTCTAGAATGTGCAAAAACCGGTAGACCACTGTTTGACAAGAAAGCTTGGGATCAAGCTCGCCGTATTCTAGCAGCTATAGAAGTAGGAGAGGTATCCGATCCGCCTGGAATCTCGCTATACTTCAAAATTGGTGTCGATAAGCACAATCTTCCAATGTATCGATGCAGCCGAGGAACAAACTCATTAGAAGGTGGTGTTCACCAAAATATTATTCGCAAGTTTGGCTCTTTTGGTGCAGGCCCACAAATGACTGATAGTATGTTGGCGGACTACCGATTACGACATAATATCGACGTAAGTAACTTTTAGACAGCTATGGTATTATTTAAAATTTTACTTATACTTAGTGTATTTATATCGCATTTAGGTTGGTACAAAAAATAGACATGGAAAGATACACCGAAGTCACTACGATCCATGGCTGCTGCAGATCATATGTGACAAGCTTCTACTGCTTGGCATGGATAATGGAGAACGCGATGATAATCATCCTTCCAGTACACTCATCGTTAAGAACTCCTTGTATCTTAAAATGTCTGGAGAATCATTTGGTATCGCATCCTTTCCACCTCATGCCGCTCAGGATATAAATATTCAAAAAGTTTCTCCGGATCCAGATAACCGACGTTCCGATCCACTTCTGGCGCATAAGCTCAGTGTAAATATCCCATTGCCCAAGGGATCGACCAGTAACGTGCAGCGACAAATGTATATTTATATTGCATCAAAGCTCCAAACAAAGTACGCTGTGACACCTGTTCACACTCCTAAAGAGTATATGCTATTCTCATCCTTACTTTCCAGCGATGGCGACCAGCAAGTTTCATTGAACTGGAAGCAGATGGCTCAGCAGTGGAATCGAGAACACGCAAATGGAATCGATGTATTTTATAAAACTGCCGAAAACTTAAAAACACATTATAACGCTTGGTGCACCAGTCAAGTTGCTGTACGATCCATCAGAAATAACGACAACGTAACGTCTACAATGCGACAACAGCTACAATCACCAGGAAGGGAGAATACCTTGATGCCCTCTCCAAATTTACCAGTCAATGCAGAGGTCATTCCATCTAGCACAAATTCGCTTATGTTCCCCCCTCTATTTTCTAATTACCATTTGTCATCTCCGTCTTTACCCTCACCTTCTAACTATTCATCACCGTCAACAGCATTATTGCCAGCTTATCACCAACCACAAATATCTACTTCTGAGCGACCACCCCACAACATATCTCATCCACCAGCTAACGTCTCACTACCATTGCCACCACCACCTCTTTTTACTTGGTGTCCGTACCAACAAGCGCAACAACTTTTTTATGGGCAACCGCAATCGACACATACAGCAACCGTTCCGCCAACTCAACCTCCGCCTACAACAACGACCGCATTTGCACAGCAATTACCTGCTGCATACCGTCAAGTTATACCAAAACCAACATCAGCAGCATCATCATCAAGAGTAATCCCTCAATCTACTTGGAAACTGCCTAAGTACCGTACACGTATTGATAAACCAAAACAATAGTTACATATATCTTCTTACTATATCATATCACCGTATTTCTCTATCTGTCTATAACAATTAAAATGGCAAGGATATATATTTCCCCATTATTTGCAGCTTTTCCTCTCTTCCTTCTTATCGTGATAAAGCTCAATCTTTCATTTTTGGCAAGCGCTGCGCGCTTGCCAAAAATGAAAGAATTAATTCCATCAGGTCCGGACATGTTACCCATGCCATTATTTTTATATATACACAAAATTCAATTTTTTGTACAATTTGGATTTTTACAGCCAATAGATTTCTTACAGCCAATAGTAGTATTATCTAGTATCTAATTGGAGTTGGATGTCCCCCAATGTTTAATGAAGTTTTGATAACACACAAAAGCCTTCATTGAAGGATTTCGTTTCAAAGAACAAACAATTTATCCTGAACGATTACAAACAAAACCAGAAACTCAGGAAAACTTGGATGAATCGATTTACAAAAGCTCATTCAAGTCACTATCAAAATTTGCTGAAGAAAGACATACCAAAGCTTGATGTTGATGGTGTTGATTGGTACAAGATCATGATTGATGGAAGCATGTTCCTGGGGGAATATTCATTAATATCAGGGGAATATTTAGACATACTACCTCAGGAATATTAGGGTAGTATGTGATATGAAAGGAGAATAAATAATAATAATAAATATTTTTGAAAACTATAAATTTTTGTAATTATTAAATTATCAAAAATTAATATGTTCACTTATGTTTATTTAAATATTAAAGTATAACTTAATTTTTGATGCCATAACACCACTACTACTACTATTTATTACAACAACAACACAACCCTTACAGGCTTTTCTTATTATCTAATTAATTATATATATATAAAACATCTAAAATCAACAATTTTTATGTTTTTTGGAGGTTCATATGAACCTTAAAATTATATTTTTTTATTTTTAATTTTCACATGTTATTAGAAAATAATTACATAATCATTTTTAATATGTGATAAAAATAAAGTTTTAAAAATAAATTTTATAAAAAGATTAAAATTAAAATTATTTATTATAATTCTTTTTAAATCTTTTAGATTTTAAAAACATAATTTGTATAACAAATAAATGTTTTTTTATATATATAATTAAGAAAACAAAATAATTATGGCAATAATTGTTATTGTTTTTGTTGTTGTTATTGTTGTAGTAGAGGAGGAGACATAACAATTTTGAAAAGATAAAAAAGAAATAAATTATTTATATAAATATAATAAAGCAATGAAGTTTATATCAATTTATAAATTGTAAGAATTATATTGTTTATAAATAAACTTATTATTATAGAACAGGAAATAATTCCATAATCAATATGAATATTATAAATAAAATAATGAATATAGTAATGAATTTTAATAAAATACTATAATAATAAAGATGATAACAATAAATAATATAAAACATTTTTTTGTATACATATGTGAACTATCTTCTGAATCAAACCAGAATCAGACATTATTTGACAAGTATATCTTTTTATTGATACCATTTTTGATAATATATACAGTCTTGATGTTCGAATGTAAGTGATATGGTTATATTTGGGGTGAAGGTTCTTAAGAATTACCAAAAAAGTTACTAATTGATCTTTATAGAGGCGAGATGGAAAGCACTGCAAGTTCCGAGCGACGAAATCTGACAAGGGAACCGAACGAAAGGAAACGACATGGGCATAGGTCGGACATGTTGTTCAAGTGCTTCCAGGGAGGAATAGGATGTACTGAAGTGGGCAAAAAAGACGTGGGTGATAGTGGGACCAAAGAACAAAAGGAACTTGGATTGAAAGTACCCAAAATGTTGAAAGATCAGATGTGGAAATTGGTGCATGTATATCCTGACCATCGCTGTACTTTAGTAACTGCCAGGCTTGTTATGATGGGTAAGTAAACTGTAACATTTGGATTATAATTTAATGTCATACATTATGCTAATGGTTTCGTGTATATAGGCCTCAAGTTACGTACTATTGTTCTGGACAACCTGTCAACATACATTTACTGTATCTACAAAACCGAACCATGTTACTTTCCAGCCACTATTGAAACTTTTGCACGCGATTTTGGTATGCTTCTCGGGATAACATCACAAATCAAGCAACTTGCGTGTTCCACTGTGAAAGCTCTTGAAGCAGACAAGCCGATCGAAAGCTCTAATTATAAAACAACCACAAACAAGCCTGAACTACTACTTCCTTGTCCAATGTCGCCCAAAAAAAGCACCAAAAAGTATTTAATACCTATTCTTTTCCTTCTCATACCTCATCATTTCTATACATAACCGCACTCCAATATACATTCCCATTGTATCATGTATATTTCAATTTGTACCAATTCATCATCATGTAAGCCAAACATATCAAATGAGTATCATTTATAAGTTTCCTTTTCAATGGATTCTCCTGTGGCATCTGGCATCTGGCACTTGACATCATTGGTGACCGCATTCAGGAAGGTAGCCAGTACTGAATGATGGATGAATGCTGGACATACAGTGTTGCCAAAAAGTATTGTCGCTACCCACAGAAATCGATAACACAATACGGTACAACTTGAAACCTAAAGCACTACGCCTCCTTTGTGTTCCTTGCCACTCCAGGTTCGCTCCTTGAGTTGTACCACGTCGCTTTTTCTTTCGTGCGTGCAGTAGCAATGATAAATATACAGTACGTGCATTAATGGAGGACTCGCAGGTTAGAAGAAGCAGTGCTTTTTCCCCCGTCCATCTCCTTCAGTTGAAACAGTCAGTTTATCTGCAAAAAAACATGTACTGTACTGGTTCTTCTGATAGTGCCACTGATATATATCCGCACAAAGTTGTGAAAGAATCATCATATTCTCAAGAACCAGAGTTTATTTAAACGAAGAGTGCCTATCAGTTATCTCGGTACGTCTTTCAAAATGCCCTCCTTACGGGCACGACGCGTCCCACCTACATAAGTCACCCAAATGACTTCTTACATAAAACATACGCGCTGTGCTTCTTACGGGCACGACACCATCCATCTGCTATAATTAACACAAGAGGGTCAGCTATGCTGCTCTGTGTAACATATTCTATTTATTATTAGAACTTGTTGTGCCCCTGTCAATTCCCCACTAAATATCGGCCTGAGCTCTCAACACAGTGATGCACTTGTCATGAGAGCTCGAAAGCACTAATGCATTATCAAATTGTAAAATGCTGCTAGTGATAGCCATATAATAGTAGCTACAGTAGACCCCCTTTAATGTCAACCCCCGATATGGTCAACCTTTTTCTGAGAACCTCACATTTTAGCAGAGATAAATTTCAACTTTTACATAAGGTCAATGTCAACACCTTGGCCAGGGTTGACTTCTTATTGAGGTCAAACATATCCAATCAAAAGAGGTTATTTCGTTGTTGGTTGAAAATACATTGTTAGGAACGACTCTGTTGCATACATACATTGTGTCGGGGTGCGCTGGTTTAATATTTTTATTATATGGTTAAACTTTGTGCCACCCCCTTTAACATCAACCCCCGTTAGCGTCAACACTTTCAGGTATACTTGAGGGTTGACATTAAAGGGGGTCAACTGTATGTCAGCTGGATTCATCGGCAGCTAGTTCTAGCTATGGCAATAAGAAGACAACTACAATTGACTGCTGCATCTTTATGAGTTTGAACCTTATTCAAGAGTTAGCGGAAGCAGTGAATCAAGGCCATGATAATACTATGGAGTTTTTTAAACCCTTCCTAATACCTACTTCCTTTCTACGATGTACTTTTAAGAGTTTCTCTAGGTCAAAGAAGCATTTTGTCTTTTATCCTCTTTCTTCCAATACTACTCCGTCGTTTCAACAAATTGAAGGTAAACTACAGTACCATGATACCAAAGTACACGAAAGGTAAGAACAAGAATCTATTTCCCCGTTATCATATATATGACAGCGCTTTCACACTGGCTAATGAATTTTTTCTCAAGGATTTTGCATATATCTTTGTAAGCATTATGTATCACCTTTTGCACAACATTATTTACTGCCTTTACAAACCTAACATCGCCAACATGTTGTCACTGTCAGGAAAGTAAGATATTTCCGATTTATTCATAATGAGCGATGATGGCCCGTCCTATATTTTGTAAGCAGCATTACTTTGAGGACGTAGTAAAGCATCAAATCAAGCGTGTTTGTCACAATGCTCCAAGTATAGATACACTAAATTTACATGACATTATTCGGTACAGAAGCTTTAGCAAACGTACAAGCCTGCTGTAAAATTGAGTGACTGGCATCGCAGAATAGCAGCAGCAATACCAGGAGCCGGACCTCGTGTGAGCAAGGTAAAACAAGACCGATTGCGAAACTCGGAACGAATACTGGGTGCTGCGTTAGATGAAGCACCTGTTTATTTAATTACTATAAAACTAGCAGAAGATCTGGGAAATAAAGACACAGGGTCCAAGCCAGACGGCGTTATCCAGATAAATTGGCATATAGACAACTTTATGAATAAGCGTGCTCATCTACACTATATTATACACACAGAACGCGTTACTGGGCATGGCCGCAGTATGTCCCGTGAAATGCTGTTTTGATCACGAAATCTCGTTGTCACTGTTAATTTTGTTTGTCGTAAATGTGTATATTGATGAAAACAACAATAATGCAGCACGCCCGGGTATTTGAAAAAATGTAAGGGTATCGTGAATTACAAGTTATTCGATCATAATGTCGCAACGGTTTGTTGATCTATCAAAATATTACGCGCATGGAGTTGGTATCAAAGTATTACTGTATGTGTAGTACTAGTAGCCCTGGACAAGATAAATGGCTTGTGATCGTGTGTAAAAGCTCACGTCTAGGAAAGCATGAACCATTGATTTTATTATCAGTGTCTATCATATGTTATTAGATCCATGGATCTGTAGCTGTTTGTTTTTATTATGCTTTCTCTTTTGCCGTAGCAGTGTTCTTGCTGCTTGGAAAGAGCTGGGATGGATGTCAGGACATAGAGAAAGGGAATACATGGACTAAAGTATCGTGAAAGAAACAAGGAGACAACCAGTGCAAAAGTTGGGCGGCCATTAATCAGCACATCGGAAGACAAGGATTTATGATGCGTCAAGGATCATCTTGCGAAGGAGCTCCTGTCATTGCTGCTCTTTTTTTTTCGAAAACAACATGTGATTACTATATGATGTTGCTAAATGCTGATATATGATATCTTGTGGTTGTAGTGGAACGGGCTCCAAAAGTAGTGCCGATGCAGATGTTATTAATCGTAATAGATGTATATAAAGAGGAAAAGAAACCCTCAGTGAAGCGACACATGGCTTCCGACCTGCCAATCAATCTCTCTACTATTCTCTGTGGGGTTCCTACTGTTTCTGAAAGCAGATCCTCCATTGTTGATCTATCTTCCCGTTGCTCTGTCACAAGAAATTACACAGGAGTAATGACAACGGAGACCGGACAAGAACAAGGTTAAATGTCAGAAAAACCCTCGGGTGAAGTAGAAGTAGTAATGATGAATTAGGATGATAAGTTGAGTGTGCAAAAGGTGATCGATCAGCTGTTGCGGATGGATGGATTGATTAAGGGCTTGTTCTAGCATTATAAATACCAAGCTTCGTTCGATCCTGAATATCTCTTTACTCTTCAACCACTACTACTTCTCGTTCTACACACACACACACACACACAACAGAATGCCTATTTTAAAATCAATTTTGCCTGCAGCTGCCTCGGCACTGCAAACTGCGTTCCACTGGTTCGCCAGTATTCTTTCCTCCGCCTCCGCCTCCTCCTCTTCTGCCTCCTCTGCCTCCTCTGCCTCTTCTGCCTCCTCTGCCTCCTCTGCCTCCTCTGCCTCCTCTGCCTCTTCTGCCTCCTCTGCCTCCTCTGCCTCTTCTGCCTCCTCTGCCTCCATCGCCACCACCAAGGACGACAACCACAACCAGGCCGCTATTGAGCTCACTGCTGAAGATCTAGTATTGGTCATAAGCACGGCGGTCTCGGTTGTGGAGACGGCGGCCTCGGTTCTGAAGGCGGCAATATCGTTGATGAGGACCGTGTTCCTCATTATTAAGCTCACGGTCCGAACAACGGTTCTGCTGGCCAAGGCTTCCGTCTGGGCCATCAGGATGACATGCTGTATTCTGCAAAGGTATCTATAGTCAGCCACGTTCTTCCTTTTGTACAATAGTCATGGTTATTATATGTTTGCTTATGCCAGTAACATTTGTTTTGAGCCTACATTAAAAGGTTATAGAAACAGCAGTCGGTCCACCCCAAATATGTGAGTCATTCATAAATCCCCACATAAAAGTCATCGCTATGTTGTATTGAGCCATAGACTAATTTCAACTTGACTTAGCAGCGCCACTCTCTGCCGTAGCATTTCTACACTGGCTCGTCTCCGTCGGTCCTACGGGTATCCTTACTGCAATTTGGTTTATCTCTTGCCTCTCTCTCCTTCGCTTTATATATACTTATCCGCGCAAGAATTTTACCCAAAAACGTCAGACGGGGAATGGAACGAAGCATAAAGTCGAAGCCCGTAAACTTACTTGTAATAAGCAAGAACTGTCCATTACGACATTAGCAAAGAAAAATCCTTCCCCGAAACTAATTAAGAAAACCCGTCCCCTACTCTCACTGAACCACTGCAGTGCCGCTACATTCAACTGCATCCGGCACTGGCGGGATCGCGATATTACCACCTTTTTTTGTTCATTTATCATATCGAAAAGCTTTTAAATTAAAATAGATTAAATAAATTTAAAACACAAAAGCACTGTGTAACATTCCACGCCTTTATCGTATATCAGTGGTTGCTATATGCCAGACTATATAGTGCGAGAGTCATGGTGAAGTAATGGTTCATATCGATAACCAAGACTTGAGCATAGAGGTTGCAAGAAAATTTGTGGAGCAGCTGTCGTTGGTATCCCCATAACGGCTCTTGACAATTTCGACAGTGCGCACCCCTTTTGTCATATCTTCCTTAATATCTGGTTTGCAACAGCCCACCATATAAGTCGTCGCTAAAGGGATCAGCTGGGATTTTACTAAACTCATTTGAACAAAGTGATCGCTGGGTAGGATTGGGATTCCATGATTGGCAAATGGATCGCACAGAGCCGAGCAACTCAACGCAAGGGATTCCATACCGTCTAACCAATGGTTGTACCGCCTCTCCCGACAGTGTCGAATCTGTGGAACTATCCAATCAAAGTGCTCAAGCTTGGCGCTTGGATACGATACAATTTATGGTCGTGGTAGCACCAAAATAAAAGGCAAATCGTTTGCAGACGTTGAGAATGACAGGGAGGCTAGATACCGTGCCATCCAGGGAACGCGTCCTCATACACTTGTATTTGGCTTGGTAGATAGCCCAGTGGCACGTTTAGGTATGGTCAGATCGCAAGGGTCTCTTTTTTTTCTCTCGAACTTGACTTTTTTTAGTGTAGCCTGGATGCTCGAAAAGGCATAATTGGACGTTTCATCCTGCTGACAGACAAGACACTGAGGCTCTGCCTGAGACTATCACAACCGACGAGTTCCTGACGGAACTTACCATCTATTGGCTTACCAACACCATGTCGTCATCCACACGACTGTGTTACGGGGCGTTCACGAAAAGGCAATGCGGATAATGTTCTTTAACCGTGTCGAAATTCCATTGGGCGTAGACTATGTCCCCAGCGAGCTGAACAAGGTAATCCACTGCATAGATCTAGAGTATATATGCAAAACTGACCCAACATGCACAAAGTTCCCTCGTGAATGGCTAGAAGCAAGTGGTGACCTTCAACAGTTCAACGAATTTGAAGTGGTAAATATCATCTTTTAGTAACGTATTGCTTCGTACTGACGAACAATGTCCAAGGCGGCCATTTTTCTGCGTTAGAGGACGAGCGAGTTGCTGGTTGATGACATCCAACGGTTCGAAAAGCTGTTAAAGACGAAAAAAAGTTTATCCGATGGTCACTGTATGGCTGCTGTGCACAACACTCTATCTGAATATAGCAATGTATTACTTGGTCTGAATATGCATCGCATGAATGCCTGTCTTGCTTTCATGATGAATGAAGTGTTTGGTGTACTTTAAACATTGTCGAATATGTACTTATTATATAATCGTCTACAGGTACGCCGCATTTCCTCCTCATCACGTTCATCCTCAATGATCATATTATGCAATATCTTGTATGCTTTTTTGCTTACGGTGACTCTTCAATACGTACTGTCTTGAATGGTTATGCACATCGGTACATCGCGTATTTACCCTCCCATTCTTCTCTTTTTTTTTCATACCACATCCAACTTACGCCATTTGATCTACTCAGCAAAACCCCTGGCTTCCTTTCTTTTATTACTTTATCAGATATACTAATACATCAAATTATTCTAAGTGTTGCTTGTAATCGACATAATTATTACATCCTCTTCCACCATTATACGAAATCGTGTAGCCCATGAAGAATCTGCTTGACACTGTTAATAAACAAATCAGTGCTTTGTACTATTCAAACAGAACCCCATGGCTCTATATGCTAGTACCTCTTGTGAACTGGTCACCAAGATTTGTATAATGTAGTTCATATAAGAGAAACCGGGCGATTGACTGATCCTGTATGGTCGAGCAAAACGCTTCGGCCCTTCTAAATAATATTATCTGACAAATGGTTTCAATAAATTTGAGTGTGTTGGGCATACCTATTCGACTTATAGCGGGAGCAAAACCGTATCTCAATAAAACGTATAGAAATTGTTCGCAACAGTTGCGAGGGAGCCAAGACCATGTAAGATGATCCTAGCTGTGCAGCATCTGCTACTCGGCCCAAAACCTGAGAAGCGTTATTAACAGGTAGAGCCTCCATAGAAGAAAGTATATACAAATAAAATTGTTCGCAACAGTTGCGAGGGAGCCAAGACCATGTAAGATGATCCTAGCTGTGCAGCATCTGCTACTCGGCCCAAAACCTGAGAAGCGTAATTAACAGGTAGAGCCTCCATAGAAGAAAGTATATACAAATAAAATTGTTCGCAACAGTTGCGAGGGAGCCAAGACCATGTAAGATGATCCTAGCTGTGCAGCATCTGCTACTCGGCCCAAAACCTGAGAAGCGTTATTAACAGGTAGAGCCTCCATGGAGAAAAGCAATAGCTGGGATAGAACTAAGACCATGTTTTGCTGTGGACATCGTAGAAAATTTCAAGTAGATGACGTAATATAAAAACTGGGAAGAGCAGGTTCTGGTTATTTCGTGCTGTTGCCATGTCGACAAAAGGATACAAAGAAGGTAAGCTATTCAATTTCACGCGTCACGGTTCTATTTCTCTTTTGTTCTTTTCATCCTTATTACTTTGCTAAAAATGTTTCGACGTTGTGTATTGCTGCTTCTAATGATAATGCTACTTGTAGTGTTTGATGAGTTTTTTGCCAACATGCAAAAGCCTTCGTTGAAGGATTTCGTAGCGAAGAATAAACAGTTTATCCTGAACGATTACAAGCAATACCAGAATCTCAAGCAAGTTTGGATGACTCGGTTTGCAAAAGCTCATTCAAGCCATTATCAAAACTTGCCAAAAAAAAAACATACCAAAGCTTGACATTGAAGATGTCGATTGGTACGAGCTCACGATTGATATTCTTTCGGTAATCATACCATTTTTTTCTCTTTGTAAAGTTTACGAGCAAGAATCGCAAGATCTTTAATATGTGAATATTTGTTAGAAAGTAAATTCAAACGCTTTTGCTGGGCCTAAGTCATCAGATGCCTCCGGCGGATCGACGACATCAACGACATCAACAAGCGTAAGCAGCAGCAAAATTACAGTGACCCACGCTTTCATGAAAGAGTTCACCGAAACATACAAAAAAATGGATGAAGCCTCCAAGTGGACCCTTACAAGTGGAAACACACAATTTACAGAGCTTGCTAATGAAAAAGGATATAACTTTAGCTATGATAATTTTGTATACCCTATACGTAAAAATCTAAATGAGCCCTTAACGATTACTGAGGATCATTTTAATAAGACATTTGGAAGTTTTAGGACAAAAGTTGAGAATCAATTTTCAGAAATTGGGAATAAATTCTGCCGATTCAATAATAACAAGTCAGTTGTTAAAATAGATAACATAAAATACTATAATCTGCAATTTCGTGTAGCTTGTTTATTAAGAATTATTACAAAATTTTTAGAAATGTTCAATATTCTTATTTTACCACACCATAAACTATGGCACAGTAATGATTTTAATTTTCCAGTAGAGCATAAACTAATTGATATAGTGGTCAGCAATGATAAACAAAATAAAGATAAACTGGATAAAATGATTAGATTGCAAAATGACCTGCTTAATATGGCTATATCAAATGAAGAAATGATTGTTGATAATGAACCTGATAATAATTCAAATCAGAGTAATAGTGATAATGATGATGTTCCAAGATTTAATGAGCGTAGTAAAAAAAAAAGCAAAATAAAGGGAAACAACAAGCAATGGCATCATATGAAATAGAAGAGATTATTAGGCATAAAACTGAAAATGGTACATATTTGTTTGAGGTAAAATGGGTTGGATATAGTGCTGATGATAACAGTTGGTTATCAATTGATAAATTTAATCAAAAGGATTTATTGAAGGAATATATCAATAAGCATAATCTTGGTATATTATAAAATTGCATACTCTACTATTTACAATGTTTTCTTCAACTAGTATATAATATAATGTGAATTCATACCTGGCATTCCTTTCTTACCAATTATTTTTATATATACACAAAATTCAATTTTTTGTACAATTTGGATTTTTACAGCCAATAGATTTCTTACAGCCAATAGTATTATCTAGTATCTAATTGGAGTTGGATGTCCCCCAATGTTTAATGAAGTTTTGATAACACACAAAAGCCTTCATTGAAGGATTTCATTTCAAAGAACAAACAATTTATCCTGAACGATTACAAACAAAACCAGAAACTCAGGAAAACTTGGATGAATCGATTTGCAAAAGCTCATTCAAGTCACTATCAAAATTTGCTGAAGAAAGACATACCAAAGCTTGACGTT